ATACTAATTAGTAATATATCTCAGCTGATCTAGTATAAGGCTCTAAGTATTATAATACAGCTAATTATTTTTTATATAGTAAAAATAATAAGATAAAAAACTCTCTAATCTAAAGTATTTATAACTATAGGATTTATAATAGCTATACTCTGATTATATTACTAAAGAATTTAGTAAAATAGTATTAATAAGAGTATTATACTAAAGAGTCTTTTTATAAGAAGTTTTCTATATATAGTTAGATATTATTATAGATTATAAAGGGAATATAGAATTAAATTAGAAAAGACTTACTAATAGGCTATAAAATATAGTTTTAAGAATATAACTAATAGAGAGAGAACCTTATATTATAAATTATATTATTATATATTAAAGTTATATAAACTACCCTACTTTTTTCTAATTAATTACTAGTAGATTATTAGGATCTTATAATAATCCTAATAATCCAGAATAATAGATTATTACTAAGCCTTAATAATCCCTTAGTATATATATATATTTACTTTATTAGATAGAATACTCTCTCAGATAGTTATTAATATAATTATCTATATATCTATTATTACTAGCTTTATAATACTTATATATTAATAGTAACTCGTATTATACAGCCTAAGATAATCTAATTATACTACTCAGAATAATACTCTGATTAGTTTAACCCCGACCTACCCTAGACCCTGTCTAATATAAGTTGTTCAACTGTTATAATATTAGATTTTAAATTTCTTTAGGAAATTAATTAAAGAGAATAATATAGTTATAAAGATATTAAAATAAAGAAATTAGAATAAATAGTTTTAATAGGAAGAATATAAATATAGTTAATATAATTAATTAAGCTATAAGCTTCTAATTATTTTTTTTATTTTATATATAAAATAATATAGAGTAGAATATTAATAAATAAAACTAAATTTATAAAGGGAAATTAGAATTAGTACTATATAATTTTAAATAAATATTAATATAATATCCTTAAGTAATAAGAGAAATATCTTTTTAAATATTAATAAAATAGGGATTTAATAAGTATTTAATTTAAATTTATATATAATTATTTAATTAAAAGATTCTCTATATATAAATAGAAGTTAAAAATCCTTTAAGCTTTAGAAATAGCTCTGAAATTTTAAATATAATAGAGATATAAGGATATATATATTATATCCAGGGAGCTATAAGTTAGAGCTTACTTATTAATTTAGCTAAATTAGATAAATTAGCTATTTTTTAATATCTATAGAAAAAAATATTCTTTTACCTATTATTATTTTTACTTTTAAAAACTTCTTTTTATAAAAGATATATCTTTTAGCTATATTATAGTAGCTATAATAGATTAATTAACTAGCTATAAATATAAACTATTTAATTAAATAAGAATATATATAAAACTTAAAATCTTCTTTTTATAGCTATTATAGAAGGTTATTAGATTTTAGTATAGTTAGTAGTCTATATTTCAAGTTTGCTAACAGCTGTAGTATTATTCGTTTTTCCCCTAATATAATAGTATAGATTATATATTATAGAAGAGTGAATTACTCACCTGCTATTACTCACTTACTCCCAGTTTTAAACATCTGTTTTACGGTGATATCATGAGTAAGAGAAGCTATAACGATTCTTCACAACTAGAGATCATCAATCTAAGCGAATTGATAGAAGACTCCTATTTTCTATCATCCAATGAGGGTCTATAGATAGCTATTTATTGATTGAATGAAGAGAGGGTATCACGTGAGACGTCCCGTGATCTGGGCTCCATCGCGTCACCGAAGCAGGTGGCTTGACAGGAAACCCTCAAAAGGCCGCCTACCCTGTAGTAACATGCCAAAGCGATCCCGGGAGGGCTTCTACGGCGGCCCCCATCCCAGATTCAGAAGCCATAGTACTTTACAACACATCTTGAGCGTTTTTAAAGATATTCCATAGAGCTCTTGTGGAATTAATAGCTCCGTTGTCCGTTACAGCTGCTTAGATTCCTCGCTCAGATGGTTTACCTGTATTATCCAAAGCGTAAGTCTTGGGTCAAGCAGTAGTGTTCGCCAGCCAAGCTTAGTTTTGCATTCAGCCAACTACAGCCCGTGACAGTCTTTGGTATAAGCGGGGCTAGAAATGTAAGATCCTGACTAATAAGAGGCTAGAACTTGGAGTAGAATCTCATTGGCTGGAACTAGAAACCCTAGCTTCTGATGAGCTAAGACTATTATGTAAAATCATTGAACTATTTCAACAGCTTCACGTGGACTCAGGATACTTCTTCTAGCCCCAGTTATCCCACCCGTGCTTATTACAGCTCGGTGATACCTAACCCACGTCTCCCGTGTACAGTCCAGATACTGGCCAGTCTTCTGCGAAATATGGTATGCTTAAGTCGAGGTTGGCTGAAAAAATGGCATCGGCCCGTCCGATATCAAAACCCGGGTCCAAGTTGCCAAAGATCTCGGCGTCGCCAGTGTATTCGTTGAAGGAACCCATTCCAAATTGGTCGTACAGGTCAGCCGAAACCGCGGGCGCTGCTCCAAGCGGCGGCAGCGGTGGTCTGGAGACTTGTCCGGACTGCGACATTTGGCTGACATCCCGTGAATCTTGGGCACCTTCATCGGCAACAGCCTCTGCTGCAGAGCTGTGTGTAAGGTTCGAAGGCTTGAGGCTATCTCTCCTTATCCTTGCGGCTCCTTGCATCGTGTCTCTGGCAAGTCTTGCCATTGCACGCGCAGAGAGGAAGGTCTTGCCGAGATCGTCCAGTATTTTGCAGGTGTCTTGGAAGAGCGTAAATGCACGCCGCCGGCTATAAGCCGTGGCGCTTCTTCTGAGACTTCTGTATGCGACGGACGCTGCCACAGTTACCGCATAGGGGAGGATGGGCCAGTAGATGAGGGACGAAATGCCCTCTCCTGAGGCAATGGCCATTATTCGCGTCGCGTAGAATCCTTGGAGTTCGGAACTGGACTGATTCTCGGATGATCTGTCTTGCAGAATCACGGCGGGCAAGTAGAAAAGCTCAAGGGAAGCTGTTTGTCTTTTAGTTAGTGTCAACGTATTACCGTAAGGGCCAGCCAAGCCTTACCTAATAAGCTACTACTTAGATTCTGCGCCGATGCCATCTCGATAAGCTCTTCGAATGTGTCGGGATTCTTTTTCCGGACTAACTCGCTGGGCCGGTAGAGTGATATAGTGTGCTCAAGAAGTTGCGCTATGTGGATGAGAAGTTTGAAAGAGGGTGATTGATCGCTGATGGAATCCATGACCTTCTTGTCCGCGTCATTTCTATGAATGACAGTAGGTCGGCCGTTTGTAGCTGCGTTGAGTCGGTCCAAGACCCAAACACACCAAAAGATTCGGCGAGAACGCTCGCCGCCGGCTTTGTCATCCGGCCAGCCGCAATGAAACCCAAGCGTTTGTTCGTAATGGATTGCCTGGGCACAGTAGTGCGTAGACAGCACGCCAAAGTCTTCGTCGTCGGTATACATGGACATCAGCGTGCAGACTTGCAAAAGCACAATTTTGTCGGCGATGAAGCCAAGGTCCAAGGTCTGCTTCACTGCAGCAGCTATGCGAGCTCGGAACTCCAGTTGCAGCAGAACCCCATCATGATGTGGCAACCGAAGATGTGGTCGCATCGCCGGATCTGATGAAGCTACCAAGCAGATACACTGCTTGAGGGTCACCGTCTCGATATCGCCATGTTTCTCCCAGGGCTCGTCCTGTAGAAGCGGGAATGTCGGGTCGATTTTGGTGTAGAACAGATCAGAGAGCAACCCAAGCTCACGTTCTGGGGGGATGACGGCGAGGCACTCCCGCCTCAGGGCAGGGCGAAGGATTGACAGCAGCAAGGTCTGGCCAGAGAGCCCATCCAACACTTGCCTAGGCAAATTCAAGAAGGTTTGGTCGTAGGCGACGGACGCGGCCTCCTGGGTGACTTCCTCATCTTGTCCCAGCCACAGACCAACCCCATGTCTAGAGATGCTATCAGAGCCCGCTTGGTGAGGCTTATTGATGATGAAGGCGGATTCTGGGCTCAGGCTGGCAACAAAGCGCACGTGAGCATTGCTGGATCGTGAGATCGGCCCCAAGGCAGACGGGCGTGGTTGTGCGTCGGTCGAGACTTCGCTGAAATTCGTAGAGGTCGGGGGTTTAGTCGTATCCACGTCGAGTTGTGGCCGACTCGACGTAGCTACAGATTTCTCCTGGGACGCATCCGCTGGTATCGAGCGCGGCGATGTGCTCCTCCGCTCATGCTGGTCTGCGTGGGGACAGCGTTTCTGGTCAAAAGTCAGAGAAACTATCGACACTGGCTGTTCCCCAGACTACTTACGTGACGCCGCTTGCAAGACTCGCATGGCCCTGGAGTTAGTTTTCGCTTCGTCCCCGCGCCCCCGACATTATCGGCAACAAACTTGAACATCACAGAAAGAGGGAATATCCGACCTCAAACTGTCGGCGACCGCGATGCATGCGGGCGTTGAGGCAAAAAACGTGCAACAACCGGCGGGGTTTCACGTTTCGGGCACATGATTTGCGGGCACAGTAACGGGGACATGAATCAGGTCAACGGCCACGCTCGGACGACACCGGAACTTTCACACGATGTAGCACATCATGGCATGAGGCCAGGACCAGTCCATTGGATGGTGCCCGGCCACTGCGGCGCTTCTTCGGTGATGATCGTTCCCCACAGGCCCGTTAGACCGTTAGACTGAGCGCGTGTCGGGGCGAAAACATCGTGACTTGCCGTTTCAGGCAGTTCCCGAAGGCCGGCGGATAATGCCTCATCCGAGAAAACGCGCCCAAGAGAAAACTTCGACAGGAAATCACAACTCTATACAAGGTTGGAATCCCCAGACTCCAGATTTGTTCCCCCAAGCTTTTCCCCAGACTCACTGCTTATCACACTCATAGGGCAGGTTTCTTATCTGAACGTTACACTTCCCACGACCATCTTGTTGACAGCTTGACTTGGGCTCAACCAAGCACCGTTCTTCGCCATGGGTCTCATGGGTTCCATGAAGATTGACTGGAGATCTAACAAGTGGGCGATTCTCTTCTGCGCAATCGCCTCTGTTGGAGCTCTCTGTTATGGATATGACAACACCTATTATAACGGTGTCTTGGCCATGCAAGAGTTCAAGAACGATTACGGAACCCACTTCGACGCAGACGGCAACAAGGCGTTGCCCTCATCCTTCCAATCTTTGACAGCATCTTCTATCTATATCGGAGACTTGTTTGGTGCCCTTATCGCGTCGCCAATCAACGATCGATGGGGTCGCAAAATGGTCTTCTGGATTGCGTCTATCTGCATCCTGCTCGGCGGTGTTGCGCAGGTTGCAGATACCAACCACGAGGCTGTCATTGTTGTCGGGCGTGTTGTTATGGGTCTTGGCGTTGGTCAATTCACAGTCACAACTCTTCTATACATTGGAGAAGTAGCCCCGACAGCTATCCGTGGACCGGCGCTGATGATGTTCCAATGTAAGTTTTCTTTACTACTTGGGTCGGATGGAAGAAGATACTAACCATACTAGTTCTGCAATCTATCGCTCAGTTGGTGGCATCTGCCATTACCCAGGGCACCGAGGGTGTCAAAAGCTCAGTTTCCTACAAGATTCCAATGGGTGGTCTTATCGTCCTCCCATTGATTATGTTCATTGGCCTGCCTTTCATTCCGGAAAGCCCGCTGTGGTATATCCTCAAAGGCCGTCCTGCCGACGCTGAAAAGTCCCTGCGATCCATCAACAGAGACAAAGCCGACTACGATCCCACCGAGGACCTTCAGAACTTCGAGGAGATTAAGGCAATTGAGGAGCGTCATGCCGAGGGTTCCTCCTGGAAGTATCTCCTCAGCGATCCCGTCGAGCGACGCAAGCTCTTCTACTCTTGCGGCGCCATGGTCTGCTCCCAGGTTTGCGGCATCTTGTTCTTCTATGTCTACGGTGTCGTCTTTGCCCAGGCTATCGGCATCAAGGATCCTTTCCTCATCCAGCTCATCACCAACATCTTGCAAATCTTTGCTGTGGGCGCATCCGTCGTTACCGGCAACAAGGTATCTCGACGCATTAATTTGTTCGTCACCAATAGCATGATGCTATTCGCCTTTATTGTTATTGGCGGTATTGGTACACAAGGAACACCTACACGGGCAGCACAATACGTGATTGTTATCTTCTCCTACTTCGTCATCATCGGTAAGTAACCGCTTAAATCGGAATATAAGAAGAGTGGACTTCTAACAATAACAAATAGGCTACAATTTTGGTATCGGTCCTTTGGCCTACACTATTGCCCGTGAGATGGCCGTCGGTGTGAACCAGAACAAGATCATGTCCACGTCAATCGTGGTGTTCTACTTCGTTACCTGGGCCTTTTCCTTCACTGCCCCGTACCTATACTACGATGCCGGTCTGGGACCCATGATCTGCTTCGTGTACGCCGGAACGACGAGCTTGACGCTCCTATACACTTGGTTCTGCGTTGGAGAGACGGCAGGGCGCTCGAGCATTGAAATTTCATACTTCTTCACGGAAGGTATTCCCGTCAGGCAGTGGAAGACGCACGTGTTCGATTCTCTCCACATCAGCGCAAGGGAGAAACAGGAGGCCGCGGAGGACAAAGCTGGTGCTTCGTACCACGTGGACACGAAGGTCTAAGTCGGTGGGCATAGGATTGTGTCAGGTTTAAGATACTGATCTTGCTCTGGCAGCTATTGATCTAGTTGCAACAAGGTCTTCTTTACCTGTATTTGTTGTCGACAGTCAGACTTCCTATTGTATTTGATAAACAGTTAAAAGCCGTTGCATCAGGACAGATTCAAATTCTACACACGTAGACAGGCTTTCAATAAAATGTAGCATCATGTTCTTCTGTTAACATATTGCTGGAGACGCTGAGAGTGACGCTGAGAAGTTGTCAACGGCATCTGATGAAGCTCGAGGGTTGATAGGGCAGGTCTGGTAGTGCGCAGAGACACATCTACGTCGTCGTCTTCAGGCGGGAGACCTACATCGACCTCATTGAGAGGAGGAGGCAACGGCTTACCGCGAAAAATTTGCACGCGTATAACCCCAGCCAATTCATCAGCAGGTTCTTGCCAGCGTATAGAATTCCGCAACAAGAGGCGGATCAAGTCCGCAGGGAGGCGCGGGGACCGAAAAACGGGAGCCGAGAAAGTCCGCCTCTAATCTCACTGGGTTGCTGCGGAATTACATCGTCCTGTTCTACGAGCTAGCTATTGGAGATATGCGGTAGTCTATGTAGAGAGAGACGAGGTATTGTTGGTCCAAGTTGTTAGTATTAGTCAGTCTTCGGAGTCCGCTCTATTTGATGCTCTTAACGACAGATATAATTCGTAGCGTTTAGGAGTTGTATAAAGGTTTAAGCACCAGCTGCAAGAGTACTTGTATATCGCCTCACAACAAATCCAATAAGCAACCTATTACAAAATCTCAAGTATGCTGCCAATCCTTTTCTCTCCATCTTTCATATGGCACCTGCTTGTACCAATTGCAGCAGCCTTGTCCCCTGATTCAACTAGAAGCGACCCGCCTAATCCGAGCATTGCATGGCATGAGTGTCCTCCACAGACACCAGAAGGCATTGACTGCGGTTCGATCAATGTCCCGCTTACATATGGCCCGGAAAACTTAGTCAATCCAGTTGACAACCGGACAGTATCGCTCGAGCTGACACGCCTCAATTCAACTGGGAATGCGCTTGAAAAAGACATCATGTTCTTCAACCCTGGTGGACCGGGAATATCCGCAGCATATTTTGTCATTGCATCTACTCTTGATCCAAGCCTTGGTTTCTCACCCTCTCTTAGGGAGGCTTACGATATCATCGGGCTCGATCCGCGGGGAGTGGGCTGGAGTACTCCAGTGCAGTGTGACCCTCACATCTACAATGAGCGAGTCCCGACCTTTATCAATGACGCGGCGGGATATAACGCCCTTGTCAGCTATGGCCAGCGCCTCAGTGAAAGCTGTGCTGAGCTCACTGGCCCACTGATCAATCATCTCGACACCATACATGTCGCCAAAGACCACGAGCTTGCGCGGCGCGCCCTTCAAGCTCCCAAGCTCAACTTCCTCGGCTTATCCTACGGAGCTCAGTTGGGACCACAATACGTGTCCCTATTCCCTGAGACTGTAGGTCGTATGGCCCTCGATGCGCTAGTCGACCATAGCCAATCCGAAACATCGACGCTCTTAGCAGAAGCTGTCACATACGAAGCATCTCTGGACCAATTCTTCACTTGGTTTGACAGGAACTCATCATGTGCTCTCTATGGTCGCAATACAAGGCAAGTATTTGATGCTTTGGTTGCCCAAGCCGATGTTACGCCAATTTCAGCACCAGGATGTGATGATGCATGCCGATCTGATGTCACTGGAGAAGAGATCCGCTATAACGTTCAATCATATCTCCGATTTATTGACCTACCGATTGGCCGGAACTGGCTAGATCTTGGTACAGCACTAGCCGAGGCTTCTCAGGGAAATGCAACTATGCTGTCCAGTGAGCTAGCGACCGAACGATTCTCAACAAGACCTGATCAGACCCCCTTCCTATACATAGCTCTTGGCTGTGTCGACTGGTTGCATCAAGCTCGATCAGCCATAGATCTCCAGCAGAAGCTACGGATGGTGAGAACATTTGCACCAAGGAGTGCAGGTGCTTCATGGACATATACCTACCAAAGCCGGTGTCTGGGATGGTCAGCACCAGTGACGAATGGCCAGACCATGTTAGACAAGGGCGTCAGTAAAGCTCCGCCAATATTGTTGGTAAACTCAATCTATGATCCAGAATGCAGCATGGCATGGGCCCAAGGGCTGAGGGAGCAGTTGCCAAGCGGTGTGAGCGTCACCAGAAACGGACACGGACATACTAGCTATTTTCTGCAAGGCGAGACTAGTGAGGCAATCAATAAGTTTCTAGCTACCGGAGAGATGGTGGAAGATGGGACTATATTCAACACATAGCCTCATGCCCAGGTGGTCTAGAGTTATGTTGAAGATAGCCTAACTAGTGTAAATAGGTGAATAGTTGATATAGATATAGATATACATACTTATATATTATCTTACATATAATTATAGAGAGCTGGTCAAAGATCTCATCTAGCAAGTGCTTCGCAAAAGAATCTTCAAAGCCCGACGATACCATTCTCCTGATCCTGTTCCCTCTACTCTGGCCTAGCCAGCCGTCAATGTCCACTGAAGCTCTCGTGCTCAACCCATCTCGCTTCCGGCGGTCGATCGCGTGTATCCCTTTGGTCCAGTATCCCATTGCCTCGATCCGAATATCTTCCAAGACAGCGGCGGGTATCCAGCCTTCTTGTTCACACCTTAATACATACCAAATCATCAATGGATCATGCAGCGACAGACGCGGCTCCAAGCCACTTCCATCTACTGTGCTAAACTTGTCAAATGTCGCGCAGAGGAAGTGGTCTACCCATTTTGCGAGGGAATTTCCAAGTTCTACGAGCGGCCGAGGCTTCTCCAAACATAGGCCCCTTTTCAATGAATGAGCTGCAACACGCGCTACGAGATCTCAATCATCTCAGCAACAAACTGCTGCAGGTCTAGATCCCGCTGAATGAGGCCATCACGCTCTTTCGAGGCCCGTATGCTCGTCATGCTGGCATACGATCCGAACGTTCGAATCTCCCGAGGCACCTCCAGCGTATTTGGAAGTCCCTTCATTCCGCTCTCCGCTACTGCGATGGCGAAAGTGCTCGTCTTTTCAAATTGCTTGGCCAGGATCCTGCCATCTTCCCATCGCTCGCTCAAGGTCCGCAGAATAAACATTACATCTTGGATGGCTTTCCACAGATCCGTTTGCCTCACAATGGCAGCTCGTCTTGCTGCTTCCTCTCTAGACAAAGAAAGAGAACACAGCCTCCAAAAGCTGTATAATATGGCAAGACCGGCCCAATAGGTCTTTTCGGATGCAATCTGGACGTAAAATATGCTGTTCGACTCGACTAGCTGGCGATATATGGCCACGAAGCCGAGCGAGGCTGCCCAGAGCTCCATGCTCTCCTCCACCGATCTTTCGGGGACAATGCTGCAAGGACGATATAAGAGCATCTTGCCCATTGACAATTCGCTCTCTACAAGTCCTTTACTGCTGTATGTGGGTATATTCTCCTTTTCCCACCAGTCCAACTCGGCTTTGAGAGCAGTAATGATCTGGTCGGAAGGCATGGTACCTCTCTGTGGCTTTCTGTTCAAAGAGTCGTAGATTTTGGATTGGAGCTGGAGGGCACGATACCGCTGGAGGTATCCTTGGATATCGGCCTCTGTCGCGACGGACTCAATACGGAAACTGGGCAACAGAGCACCAATTACACAGTCTGATATCTCAGTCGACCGGCCACAGCTTAGGCTCATGGATCTATCAAACGAGTACATACTCCACCATAATCTCCGCCGCGTTTCCAGAAGGCTGGGACTGATGGAGTCGGGGGGTTGAGGGTCTTGATGCAGGCCTAGATCAATGCAATTACGCATTCCGACTCCAATCAGGCACCAAGCATCCAGAGCCGAAGGGTTCAGCATCGCATATTGGATCAGAAACAACAACGACTGGACGCCGACAATAGTATTAGGTCGCACAGCGGATTCTCGGTATTCGAGGGCGCGATTCAAGAGCCTCTGGGCTTGAGTCGATATGAGACTGTCCGCACTTCGAGCCAGGCTCGAGGATGAGATAGCAAGTACGATCAGCACGGTGAAGTAGCTGTTCCCCTGATCAACGTCTGCAGTGCCCTTCCCTCCATGGTTTTGAGGAGCGGTGCCGTCGGACGTAGATGGGGAGACGCTTGTGGGGAAAACGATGTTGAACTGTGCCAAGAATCCTTGGATGGAAAAGAATGGAAGTCTTGGATAGACCTGGTCAACATAATGCTGAGCTAGTTTCAACGCAACGTCCCTTCCAGGCATCCAAGTTGGACCGGCGTGACTAGCGCGTTGTGTGAGAGCCAGGGGAGTTTTGCTTGCGGCCCCAAGGAGGATGGTTGACAGAGTTGGTCCATCCCCAGTTGAAGAATAAGATGATGCAAGTATAGGCAAGGCCCCGATATCCGCAATAAGAGTGTCGATGACGGATGTTGATGGTGGGTGGGGCTCAGCCTGGGCAGTCACTCGCGAACCAGGCAATCCTGAGGGTGATCGGGTATCTGCTGAGGCTCCTTGCAAACTTTGCAAAGTCTTTTCGAGTCTTTGGATCCGATTCTGCAGGTAGGTTGGGTAGTCTCGCGCCTGATGCGTGCCTCCTGAAGACAGAGAGCATGTCCCTGGACGGCCGAACTTGGTGCATCCCCCGCACGCTGGGGTGACTCCGTCGCACTACTCGAGTTAGAATTGAGAACCCAGATATTTTAAAGCAGACGTGGCACGGTTACTTGCTCTGATCTTTCTAGATTTGCAAAATGAGCAGGCGGACAGCACCTGAGAGATACGAAGCGGGGCGCGTCCTTGTTCACTCATCGTACGGACGAGGCCGTCTCTTCACCCAGTATCCTCCAAGCCTTCAATTCTACATTCAATTTCTGTATGGTAGATTGATTGACAGCACCTGAGTCAATGCCAGCGGGAATACTCGGTCCGAGGGGCTGTTGGAAACCCCTGACGTTGGAAGGATTGGGGTGAGATGCTCGCCGAGGTCCTGATCACCTGCAGACTAAAATCAAATTAGCGCAGACTGACATCCCGGGATCTGGCAATTCGTGTAACGGACGCTGGGCGTCCAAAACCAGAAGATGGGGCGAGACGGAACCCCCGTCCATGGCAAGCAGCGTCATCGGGTGTTCCGTTGCTTCACATCTGACCTTGTAAGCGCGGCTCGCAACTCTCTGCCAATTCTTGTTAGAATGGCTGAGGCACTCGGTAGAAGATATGGACCCGAAGCTCTCTTCAACGAGCACTCAGTGTCCCCAAGACCATTGTTCTCCACGCAGCTCTCCAGTTGGTGCATATTTGTACCCCGACATCACCCCCTTCTCATTGTTAATTCGATGTCCACCCAAGCTTGAGTTATACCGAAGTCCCTGAACTAGCCATTCAGTAGTGTGTCCATATCCCAAAATGGCGCCTGCTCGAGTTCATGATCCCGTGCTCCGTCGAGAGCCCGCAACCCAACAGCGCGATTTCGAGGCGCGCAACATCCAGGTCGACCTATGCGTGTGCGGCGGAGGCCTGTCAGGTACCATTGCTGCGATATCCGCCGCCAGAAATGGCGTCAAGGTTGTCCTCATCCAGGATAGGCCTGTGCTCGGTGGCAATGGATCGAGCGAGGTCAGACTCTGGATCCTGGGCGCAACATCGCACATGTTCAACAATAACCGGTACGCCCGAGAAGGCGGCCTGGTGGATGAGATACTGCTAGAGAATCTGCACCGCAATCCCGAGGGAAACCCTTTGATCCTCGATACCATCCTGCTGGAGAAGGTCCATGATGAGCCCAACATCCAGCTCTTCCTCAACACGTCGCTCGTCGGCTGCGACAAGGACGGTGATCGGATCAGCAGAATCCAGGCCTTCTCATCCCAAACTTCGCTCATGTTCTCGGTCAAGGCCCCGCAGTTCATCGACTGTACCGGAGACGGCACATTGTCGTTCTTAGCCGGTGCACCTTTCCGTGTCGGTGCCGAACAGCGTGACGAGTTTGGAGAAAAGTTCGCTCCGTCGTCCGAGTACGGTCATTTACTTGGCCACTCAATTTACTTTTACTCCAAAGATGTTGGCAAGCCTGTTAAGTTTGTCGCTCCATCCTATGCGCTCAAGGACGTAGAGAATCAGATTCCGAGGTTCCGCAGCTTCAACACCAAGGAGATGGGCTGCAGTCTTTGGTGGATCGAGTATGGAGGCCGCCTTGACACTGTTCACGATACTGAGGAAATCAAGTGGGAGCTGTGGAAGGTGGTTTACGGAGTGTGGGATTACTTCAAGAACTCTGGGCGATTCCCCGAAGCTGAGAACTTGACACTTGAGTGGGTTGGTACAATACCAGGAAAGCGTGAAAGCAGGCGATTTAGTAAGTTGGTTTTTATTCTTGACAGAGACCAAACACTAACGCATGTGAAATAGTTGGGCCAACAATCATGACACAACAGGATGTTATCGAGCAGAGGTACCACTCAGACGCCGTCTCCTTTGGCGGCTGGTCTCTTGACCTCCATCCCGCGGATGGAGTCTTCTCTGAAGTTGACGGTTGCACACAGTGGCATTCCAAAGGTAATCACCGGATCACCCTAATTGCGTCGCCAAAACTAACGAGTTATCCCAATAGGAGTATACCAAATTCCATTCTCCTCTATGGTCTGCTCCGAGATCCCAAACCTCATGTATGGCGGAAGAACAATCTCTGCCTCTCATGTAGCCTTTGCATCCACCCGTGTCATGGCTACTTCTGGCGCAAATGCAAATGCCCTCGGCGTGGCTGCAGCGCTATGCAAGAAACTTTCCATCGACCCAGTCCAGCTCTTGGTCAAAGACACGATGAAGTCGTTTCAAACTGAGCTGATGCGCTTCGGCCAATTCATTCCGGGCTACAAGCTCAAAGATTCTGAAGATCTCGTTCGCCGCGCGCGATCAATCGAGGCATCCCCTGCTTTCCAACTGGATAGTCTCCCCGCCAACGGCCCTCCCAAAGTTCTTGTCAGGAGCCTGGCTCAGATGATGCCACTCGAGGCCGGCCCGGTTCCCAAGTTCTTCATAACGGCGCAGGCCGTGGAAGATAGCGTACTAAAGGTGCAGCTTCGAGGCTCCAACAAGCCGTACAACTACACTCCAGAGGTCATCCTAGAAGAGACCTCATTTGCTCTCAAGCCCGGGTCAAGCGATCTCGAGATCGCGTTCGAGGTTACCAATCCACAAACACAATACGTGTTTCTGTGTTTCATGCAAAATGAGTCCGTCGCCATCTCTACAACTCTTACCCGTGTCTCTGCTTTGATGACGGTGGAACATGAATGCACGCAAGAGCCTCCTGATGACGTCGGAGTTGAAACATTTGAACGATGGACACCAGTTCGGAGACCTATGGGACACAACCTGGCGATCAGAGTTGATCCTCCCATTCAGGCTTGGAGTGCATCAAATCTGACCAACGGCGTCCCGAGACCGACGAAGCGTACAAACTGCTGGGTACCTCAGGCTTCCGATGGTAATGACAGGAGGATAATCAAGATTGCTTGGGATTCGCCTGTCAATTTAAAGAGCCTCGTGGTTCACTTCGATACAGACTATGATCATGCACTTGAGTCGGTACTTCGAGGTCACCCAGAACGCAACATCCCCTTTTGTGTAAAGGAGTGGCGAGTGCTTGATCTCTCGCGTGATGGGGAAGAGAAGGAACTCTTCCGCGAAGAAGACAATCATCTTTCCCGTCGCGTTGCCGAATTTGATCCACCAGAACGCTTGACAATGATTGGGGTCGAGATACTGGCATTGAATGGAGATAGTAATGTCCGAGGAGGCATATTTGAGATTCGGGCATACGAGTAATGAACCTTGAGATAGATAAATTGAATACCGTTTAATGAGAATCTTAGAATTGGCCGAGGTGCCGGTGACTGGCTCAACGTTGGGCATCTTATGAACCAAAATAAACCATTATCGCTAAGACAGCTCAGTTTTGACCACTTGGCACTTGTTCAGGCACCACATTCGGACCTGCCACTCCAACGATTTACTCCCACAGAAAAGAACTTGATGATCACTGTTTGAAATCATCGAATTCAGATCTTCCATCTCCATCCTCCGGAACCGGGTCTGAATACTTGAATCAATCTCTACTCGCATTTCACTAATCTTCTTGGCCCACCAACCCTCCGTCTTTCCAGCTACCAGCCCATCGAGATCATCACCCTTTGTGACGAAAATCGTAACAGAAAGCCAGTGGATGCTCTGGAGGATCTTTCCCCGTACCAAGTATTCTACCAAAGGGAAGTCATTTCCATTGATGCTCCATATTAATGAGACCCTTCCTGGACAGCCATTGGCTCCCCACCGAGCATTTGTCATTGCAAGAAACGGCGCAATGCCGGTTCCTCCTGCAATACAAATTGCAAAACCAATGTTTTCGATATTCGGTGTTGAGAAGCCACCTCCCGTGCCAACAACTTTGGCTGTCAGCCGACCATGTGGCCTCGGGATTCCGAGAAGTCCTGTGACACGCCCGTTCCTCGTTATCACTGACATTGTGAAAAAATCAGCATCTGGTGAATCGGAGAGCTGGCAAGGAGTAAAGGTAAGGCAGCGATCTTCTTCTTTCAGAGATTTAGATCCGTAGATGAGATCCAAGTCATCAGGAAATTGGAGTGTCACATTTTGCGAGGGTTGAAATGAGACTAAAAGGCTCGCCCTTTTTGGAACCGAGAAGGTGTGCAGACTGATGCTGGGCGACAATCGGTGAGAAGACTCGAGTTTTACAACATCAGGAGCTTCTGGGCTGCCATGTGATCCAATCCCCTGGTTTGCAGCCTCAGCCTGAGAATACATGCTAACGAAAAGTATTAGTTCGAAAACATCAATTGTAATCAGGCAATGTGGTAGGGATGTGTTTGTGAGAGCTGAACACATGATCTATGTAAGCTAAGAACCTGACCATTTGCCCTCCAACACTTGGAGGACTTGTTCACAACATGCAGCTGGACGGAACCTCCGATGGAGGAGAGCCATCGATGGAAGTGGGCAACGGCGGTTCCGCTTGACTCCAACCAGCACTAACATGGGAATCTCCACAAACGCGGAAATAGTTCCTTTTCACCCCAGACGAGCCCCCCGCAACCCCAGTTTCCCTTCAACCGCCTTGTACTACTAAAAGGTTACACTTCCCTGAATGGGGAACTCTGAAAGGGTTTCACTAACGGAGTCAATTCTCTTGCACTCGACTCAAGCCAAAGCCTGATAGCAACCGGCAAGATGGCAGAAACCGAAGTCCACGTTGTGCAAGTCAAGCCAAAGGCGAGCGCCTGGCTCCTCATCAGTGTCGGCGTCATGTCGATGGGTTCAATCTTCTGGGGGTATGTATATTATCTGTTTAAAGACCATAAGGCTATTTTTTGCTGACAGTATACAGATACGATATCGGCATTCTCAGCACCATCTACGTCTCGCCAGGATTCAACAAGGCCTTGAACAACCCCTCTTCAGCTTCGAAGGGGCTGATTACAGCAATCTTCTCTGTTGGCCAGCTATTCGGATTCATATTCCTGGCGGGACGCACTAACAATCGCTTTGGTCGACGCTGGGCGGGTTTCATCGGCGTGTGCGTCGTTGTCGTGGGTGCCGCGATGCAAACCGCCGCTGTCCATCTCGCTCTAATGGTCGTCGGGCGTATCATTGCCGGTGTCGGTACAGGAATCGTCTCGACTGCAGTTCCGCTCTATCTTAGTGAGATTGCACCGGCTGCGCAGCGTGGATTCTACGTCGCCGCCAATCAGGTTGGGATTGTCTTTGGGTATGTTGCCATCTGTACAGTATTTATGAACTGCGGAATACTAATGGCTTTTAGAATCTCGATGGCTTTTTGGGTTGGGTACGGGTTCTCCTTTTGGAAAACTGGCAATGGAGTTGATCTGGAGTGGCGCCTTTCCAACGCAGCTCAGTTCGTCCCAGCCTTGATGTTTCTGGCAGGCGCGCCGTTCTTGCCAGAATCGTATGTACTACATCTCCCTTAGCACTAATGAGCATTCTAACTTCGTTCTTTAGACCTCGCTGGTTGATGGAACATGATCGAACTGAAGAAGCCGCCCGGTCTCTGACCAGACTACGTGGTGCCAGCGACGTGGTGGAAGTCCAATCTGAGCTTGATGAGATTCATGCCAACATCTTATGGCACAAGGAGCATTCCGTCACATCAGCCCGCGTGTTTTTCAAGGAAAAGGTTCTGTGGGCTCGTCTCTGGAGAGCCTGGGCACTCGCATTCCTGCAACAGATGAGTGGTGCTGCGGGCATTCGCTACTACCTGTAAGAACCATCCTCCTCTTATCTTCTCACTGACTATTGCTGACATGGCGTAAATAGTCCTACAAACTTCATCGCTGCAGGCACATCGAAGGACCTAAGTCTACTTGCATCTGGCATTGATGGCACAGTGCAAGTAGGATGTACCATTGGTGCCATGTTTTTCATTGACAGGATTGGCAGACGACACTCTCTTGGTGTCGGGGCCGTCATCATGGCCTTCTGTTTGATGGTATGTCTTGACTCTTACAGTGTCTCTTCACAGCTGCTAACCAAGCACCACTATCAGATCAATGGTGCTTTGCAACTGGCATACCCAAACCAAGTCAGCGCGTCGGCCAACTATGTCAACATTTTCTTCATCTTCTTTTTTACCGTAGGATGTTAGTCATACCAATTTCTCCTTGGCGCGAGACAATCCACTAACAAAGCCAAAACAGACAGCATGGGTTTCGGACCGTGTGCATGGATCTATGCATCCGAAATCTTCCCTGCCAACTGCCGCTCCAAGGGTCTGGGCATCTCTCAATCGGGAGCATCTCTGGGTTCCATCATCGTGGGCCAAGTCTGGCCAGTTGCCGTCTCAAACATCGGGCCTCGGGTATACTTCATATTCATGTCATTCAACGTTTTCGCGGCGATCCTCGTCTATTCATGCTACCCCGAGACCAAGAAAAAGACACTCGAAGAGCTTGATGCCCAGTTTGGTAAACTGAATATCCACTCTGAATCGGAGGCGACTCCAAAGCAGATGCTCGATGAAGGGCATGAGCATGTCGAGGTTGGAGACAACAAGAGAGTCTGAAACACTGCTTCTGAGGGGATGAAGTACCAAATTTTTATGCGTCGCGTCATCGGACGTGTTGTGATGTTTTGATTCGAATTTGTGCGTCGCGTTTGGCTGTCCTACCCTACACCACATCAACCACCTCGGTCAAGCTCCTCTAGGTAGTTATGAGCTATGTAGGCATCAGTCGTTGAACGGTTGGTGTTCATAGATTAGTCTAATGGGGTTTTTAAATAATTTAATGGTTGTTAGTCAAAATGCAAAAATTTCTTTTGCTTCCGTGTTCTAGATAACTTCTTGCATGTATAATCAAGCGTGTTACGACTCGATCGTTTTGAACAGTGATTACGGCTGCTAGTCACGTAGTGATGCTTTCTTTTGTGTAATGATATATAATACTGCCTAACAATCACTTAAACTTTAATTGTCATTAAAGATCATTGACTATCACTATCGTGGCCTGTATTGGAAGGTTGGGATGGAAACACCTTTGCAGTCTCTGTTTATTGGCTGCTCCTGACCCGGGGATAACTTCACCTCGCCGCAATCTAGGTGAGACTAGTGACGCAGCCAATTACCCCGCAGTGGGTTTACAGAAATTAGGGTGGAGAAAACGCGACAGGTGACGGTTTGTTTCCGCGGGCTCAGCTGACCCAAAATCATATCCTTGCCAGTTTGAACTCGTCTCATCAACTGTTTGACCACATTCTCTGTTCAAGCAGCGAATGGAGCCATCATTTTTCGTGAGTTGCTCAACACATCTAAGAGGAATGGTACTGACGGGTTTGAGACAATCAATGCATGCAATAGATGCAGAAAACGAAAGGCAAAATGCGACACAGGTAAGAAATGGCTTATTTTTCAGAGTTGGAAAACAATAAGAAGCTGTGACGATTCTAACATCTCTTTTTAGGGATACCCGCCTGTAGTCAGTGCCAGAGCTCGGGTTCTAGCTGCGACTACACCGATGCTCGATCCAAGACTACCCACCCTAGGACATACATTAGTGATCTGGAGGACCAAGTTTCACAGTTGGAAGAGAGAATTCGGGCTCTCGGTAAAGATAATGAGGACAAGGCTCCCTCCAACAGAAGCCGACTACCCTCAGCTGCTGCAGAGGAGAATGCTGAGACTGACGACCGCGAACGCCCCGACTTCATTCGTCTGGAATTGGGAGATGACTCTCATTTCTTAGGCGCCTCGAGTGGTAAGATGCGCCTGATCAAGAAGAAACGAACCAGAGTGATTGACCCATGATCCTGTCGCCTGTGATAGGCATGCACCTTGCGCGTTCCGTTCTGGAATCTACGAGAAAGAACAGTACAAGCTTCGACAGTCACAATTCCCGACTAGAGTCAGATCGTCATTCTCAGTCAACACATTGCGAGGATCAGAATGGAAGCCTTGGGCATGATACGAGGGATGAGAACCCGTTACCCTCACTCGAAACAGCAGGCAGCCTCATCGAGATTTTCTTCTGCCAATACCAAATACAGTATCCTATTCTCGATCAGCAAGAATTTATGGACCACGTTTCCAAACTTTACGCGCCAGACGAGCCAGGGAATCGCTCAACCTCAGCAGAAGAACCATGGACAAGATTCATGCTCAACATTGTACTGTCCATATCTTTGCTGCTCCTCTCACATGACAACTCCGACTCTTTGGTGCTGGCGGAAAGATTTCGTATGAATGCCAACGTGGAACTCGGTTCTGTGATGAGACGAAAAACACACAGAACGTTGCAATGCTTGTTACTTCTTCTGTTGTCGTCAATCGTGAGCTCTAGATCCGCACCGGTGTGGTATATATCGGGACTTTGCATGCGCATGTGTGTCGATCTGGGATTCCACTCGGAGCAGACAATCAAGTATGGCCTGGATGAAAATGATGGGCCAGACGAGGAGCTCCAGGATATGAAGCGAAGATTATTTTGGGTCACCTATACGTTCGACCGAAGCCTGGCTACCATGCTTGGGAGGCCGTTCTTCCTAGACGACGATGACATCGACGTTGAGTATCCCTCTCGATCTTTGCCTCAGACGAAACGAAGCCAAGTGCTCCACTGGTTCAGGATGCAGCGGATGCAGAGCGAAATCGTATACCGCCTACATACAAACAAAGGCCCTCATGCCCGTGGTACCGACAAAACCCCTGATCTCGCTACCTGGAAGGCCATGATGGCAGCAAAATTGCTCTCATGGCAAGACGAGTCTACTAAACTGATTGACAACGAGAACCATAGCATGGATTGGTGGAGATACTGGTATCAAAATGCCAATCTCATGCTTCACCGACCGCTCTCTCACGGTCCCCTGCCATCTTCGGAATCACTACTAGCCGCATATGATTCAGCCAAGAGCATGGTCCATTTGTCCTTCATTCGCGTCTACAAAGGTCCATCCGAGTTCACCTGGCTAGATCTTCATTACCAATTAATGAGTGGTCTGACATTGCTCTTCCTTGTATTGAAGAGCCCGGATGCAAGACGAAAAGCGCAGACGGACTGGGCATCATTCAAGAGTTGTACGATTGAGTGGCAAGTGGTGCTGGAGAAACTCACGGGCCGTTGGGTGCAGATGGCGCGAACGAAAGAGGCTTTGGTGCGATTAGTTGAAGCTGCCGTGGATACAATCGAGGAGTCCTCTTCTGGCGAACGATCAAAGCGCGGCGGGAATAGGATTATGCGTGATCGTCGGTACAGAGAATCCATTATGCAAGAGCTGGGCTCGCCTGGAACGGCTTCTTCAACCCACAACACAACATCCTTGAGTCCCGAAAATGTCGATTCTTCTCATTATAGAATGGCTATTGACGAGAGACTATGGGGAAATGACAATCCCGGCTCAGGAGGCTTTCAGATACCCAGGCATAGGTCAAACCGTGAGGAGCATGAGTGTTCGCCAACAAACGCCACGCATCCACCACCTGAGACAGTTTCGGTTTCTACGTGGTCTGATAGCCAAATTCAGCCGGAAGATCCCATGTTCACTCCGTTATTCGACGATTTAGACTTGTCCTCTATGATAGATGGGGATGTTTGGTCTGGTCTGAATACATTCGACGTATCGCCGCAGACACAATTTGGTCTGTTCGACCAGTATCCGCTTCCCATGCTGGGTGTAGAGACATTTGGGCTCCCAATGACGGGATCGGGCAGTGGAAGGCTGGATACAACACTCACAGAAAGCGTGCTCAACTTTCAGGGTAACATGGAGGAGCCTCGGCAAGTTGACTGAAGGTTAGAGCATAGCGTGACGGACTGCTTAGAAGCATAAAATCTTCATTTTTCAAAGAGTTCCTATCCATGATTTATCCTTGGCCTGTCAGATGGCAAATCTCAGACAAGTGATCGGCGCTATAGGTAAGTGCTCCCTTGTGACAAGCCGGAGTCACTCCACGATCTCATTAGAACAGTCATGCAAGTGGGTGACAGGAGAAATGAGACACTCAACGGAAGAGTTGGTTACAAACACATTACTTTCTACAATGAATGTATAAAATGAACTAAAAGGAAAATTTCCGCTATATTATCTCTAAGGTATGTATTACTAACACTCAATAGACTGACAATTCCGGTCGTAGACTCGAAATAAGCAGCTTGATGTTTGAGTGTCTCAATTTCAATGTCACCTACTTGCCACGGTGGAGATGAGCTCGGAGGCGGAGAACTCCGGGGAAATGCTGCAGCAAGCCGATTTTGCCTGTCATGCATTTCCCCGCAACATGCGGGATAGGTAAGCCGTAACCATAGACATGGGATCTACGCTCACACTAGTACTGCAGCTTGCATTCGTCGTGGGTCATCGGGCGTTCCGTCTTCATTTGATTGGAGTGCATGTCTGTCACGAGGAACCTTGTGGGAAGTAACAACAGTCAAAAATCCCAAGCGGCGGTGCCGTTGACGACTCAGGGAGCGAATCTCATCCCCGGACAATACGACTTCCCCACGTCTTCAGCCGCTGTGGGGGAGCTCACGATGCTCAGTTCAATATTGAACATTCATACTGCCATCCCTATCTTATGCGTATAAAATGGAGTTGCTGAATCTTATCTCGGATCTTATGGTACCACCGTCTTACAATCCCACCTACACTCCACTTGAAGCTGTCCACTTTGTAAGATGAAGCTCACAAGATTTGCGCACCTATGTGTCACTATACACGCTGCAGCTGCGGCCATCACACCAGGTAGCCTCATAACAGTCACGGAGAATGCAGACAATACAAACGTGGCAGCCTGGTGGACTCCGCTTGATGAGTTTGGCGGATTCGAGTGGCTCGCGTACCTGCGAAACCCAACCTCAGGCTCCTTCTCCAACAACAACGTCATGGTTGCCAGGCGAGACATGACTTCTGGCGCAATCAACCGCGACTGTCTGAAGAAGACAGCCTCTGGGGATTGTGTTTTGTTCGCTGATGATGCGGGCCACAATCAACCAAGTATCGCTCTCGACGGTGATGGCTTTGTCCATGTCTTCACTTCAATGCACAACAATGCTTGGAGATATTATCGGTCTGATGATCCGTATAGCGCAAGCCTGGTCGACCAGAGTAGCACCATGCCTGATCAAAGTGTTCTCATCACCTATCCAGTGATCAAAAGAGACGCTTCGGGTAACCTCTGGCTTGCTGTGCGCGGCGATTCGGGAGATGGTGTTGCCAGAGGCGGATACCTTTACAAGTACGAGACGGCAAAGAAGACGTGGTCTCGTGTTACCATCTGGGCCTATCGAAAGGGTTATTCGGTGTACCCAGACGACATTCAGTTCTCATCCGACGGGGATGTTCATTTGCAGTGGGAGTGGTCCAAGTACCCAGCTTCTGCCGGGCGACACGAGGGTAGCTATCTCCGCTACAAGCCGTCTTCCGGAGAGTTCAAGACCGTCACAGGGGATGTCGTCTCCGTGCCTGTTACTCAGTCTACCAGCAACGTGGTGTTTCAACCCCTCACCAACGGAGAAGCCTATGGCGACAATGGTGCTGCAGCACCACTCCTGCAAAGTGCCAAGCTGGCGATCTATGAGCAGCCCGCTGGCACTGTCCATGTCCAACATGCGTATCGCTTCCAAAATGTAACGGGAGGGCCATGGCAGGTACGGCGAGCAGTCGGTGGTAGCGGATCCCAGCCATGGTCTCGGGAGATTCTCTACGCCGACCAGGACACAAGTGCTGCCGTGGGATTCACACACGACGGAACAACTGCCCGAATCTACTACTGTCGAACTGGAGGCAGCACATGGGTTCTCGAGAAGTCGGGTTCCACGCCGTGGGCAAACACTGAACTCGCCCCGGTCAAGGGAAAGGGCGTGCAGAGGCTTCAGGCGTTTATGAGGCCAGATGGCACTGATATTTTGTATCTAGGGGCACCCACGAACGTGGATGCCTCGACTGGCAGCGTGTATCTGCTCTCGGTAAAGGGCAGGTAGCCATGGCAAGAATATTGGTAAATTTGGTTTAGATTAGCCCGGACAAATCTCGCGTCGGTAGGAAACAATACAAATTGCTGAATGGGTCGAAATTTCATTTAATCGTCTTCTTGTTGCTTAAAGTACATGCTCTTATTTGTTTGTAGCTAGAGTTTCCATAGCGTTAAGACATGGTAGCATGTCGTTGTCAAGGCTACCCCAACTGCTAACTTCGGTTCTGTCGCAAGCTTGTTTAAAATCTAACGTATAGTTTCTTGTTACCCTCCCTGAATGAAACTCCCTGTGCCAAAGTCCTCCATAATTTGAGGGAGCGAGCATCACTAGTTGCTCCGATCTGTTGATCATACAACGATACTCAATCCCACCGACCAGTCCAGCAACTGGCCAGCCTGGCATATTGCCACTAAAGTAAAATGCCCATGAAACTCGGTAGTTAAACCCAATGATATTTCAGGCCCTAGAACTCGGATTGCGAAAATGCCCTGGTGCTAATTTGTTAGCAAATCATGAGAACAGACGGGCTCGAAACGCGAGTAGTTTCACTCGTGAATCAGCTGCCGTCTTAGTACTCTTGTCGATAAAATCGTCTAAAAACTGCTTCTCTATATTTCTTGATGTAGATAGTCTCAGCAGTAGGTCGAGAAGTGCTGTATTTCCTAATTGATCAACCGCAAAGGCATATCCTAGAGCGGTCAACCAGGGAGGTGACGAGCCTGCTATTTGCCCCAGCTGGGCCCCGCTGTCAATGAGCAGCGAGATTATGTTCTCTTTTTCTAGGAAAAGTTTCGGCTCAGATTTTGGAAAGTCGACGGCCCGGCCGTGAATATCGTACATCCGTTGGGGGCGAATCTTTACCTGCCATGGATTGCGGCCAGCCCAGATAAGTTGATCGATTCTGAATTCCTCTAGCTCGAGTGCATCACGTAGAGGAGTGCCTATATTTCTTGCAAATACATCAAGAGGGGCTCCTGCGTCGATAAGATGCTGCACCGTTGCTAATGATGCATCTGTGTATGGACCTAAGCAGGCAAGATGGAGAGCGGTTCGGCCATCACGTCTGGCTCCATTGACCGACACACTCGGCTGTTGCAAAAGCAGTCGAACAACTTCGGAATTACTAGCCCCGGAGGCAAAATGTAATGGGGTGTCCTCATAAAAATCTCGGGCTCTCGGGTCAACGTTTGGTTGTCGTAGGAGGAGATTGATTAGACCAATATCATTCTTGCACGACTCGGCAGCGAAATGCAAAGCAGTCTCTCCATCATAGGTAGTAGCTGCGGCATCTGCTCCGCGTTGTATAAGGTCAGTTGCAAGGGGAAGGTCATTCGTGGAAGCGGCAAAATGCAGTCCGGCCCAGAGGGACACCTCATCGGAGCGATTCAGAAGTTGCTTAGCAAGGTCGTCATATCCTTCGGAAGAAAGTTTCGAGACCGCAGAAAGGTCCTCGACGAGCAAGTAGGCGCCCTTGCTTACAAGAAGATTTATCAAGGCCGGCGTTGAGTTATTGGTGAGAGAGGAGGGTTCGTCTTTAAGTGGTTCCCATTCGATAGCAGATGTTTCTCTGTTAATACCATCATGGAAGAGGCATTGATGCAATGGAAACAAGGGGACATCGCTGTAATTCCAGTCGCCGCAACAGAAATTCAAGGACGGGGCGTGGACATCAACTCCGTTTTCCAGCAGGTACTGGACAACGGCCACGTGCCTGCGCAGTATCGCGACATGTATGAACGAGAATTGATATGGAAGGTGATAGAGTGAATCTTCGGGATCAGGTTCAATGACTCCCCACGGAGGGCAATACGTAGTTTCAGCAGTCACTTCGATGCTGCTATCGAGGGCTGCTCCAAACATATGAGCTCGTTTGACCGTATCGATGTTGCCAACATTCACTGCCCATAGCAGACATGACGCTGTTAATGGATCTTGCTTCAAGTTTCGCAAATAGAGAGCACGGTTTAGTGCTTGGTACAGTCGGCGGCATGTACGAACGAGCGCAGCATGGCTTCTTGCGTAGCTTGCAGGATGGAGATTCCTCGAAGAAGGAAGAACACCCCAGGTGCACATTTCCGCAATTCGAGCAAAAGCTCTAAGGGGAGAGTGACGAGGGATGGGGCCATGATTCTTTAGGGGCTCGCGAAGCGTTGAAGCTCAGAGACGGCGTGTCGGATATCTGTGATCGAGAGGAGTGCAACGAGCTCCAAGCGAGCGTTGAGTCGAAGGGATGTGTGATATGGAGAGAGAACTTGGAGTTGAAAGAGTGAGGTGAAAGGGTATGTGCTTGGTGTGTGGCCTTCTTACCTCAGGCTCATATTCATGACAAACCTCACCACTTTGTATCGCAGTGCCTATTTTTAAGGCAACGAAGCCTTCGCCAAGGTGTTGATTTCTTATCAAAGTGCAGGTTTCGATTTACTTGATATCGACGCCTGTTTAACCAAGGTAAGTTACTCTTAGAGTTTAATGCTCTACGTCCCAGCCTTACGACTATCGCCCGCCAGCCCAGAATACTTGGTAAATTGTAACTCTATAAATATAATGATACGAGTTTATATTTAAGCTGTCTAATTAATGTCTTAATCGTCAAGACGTGGTTGCGAAATACATCATGGCCAGAAAAGATTGTTTGACGACATTGGCCGCGAAGCTTAAAGCCACTGATATAAATCTTGGAGAGCTTGGAGGAAGCTCAAGTGAAAGCCGGAAATCTCCTGTCAACTGTAGCCGATTCCAGTTGCGGCGAAAATGTACCCACGGTCGCGGTCGAGAAGAGTCGAAGGCGAGTAATGATGGCAAATGTGGTCTACTAACGACAGGGTCATGGCAGCGTGTCCGGAGTAAATGGATGTCATGCTGAGGACCGATCCGCGACAGGCTGAAAGGCGACCCGATAATGGGGAGTCTATGAGTCTCGAATGGCCTGGCAGCAAAACATGTTTCATGGGTTGTGGCTAGCTGAGGTCTAATTGACAATAATGGGTTGCCAATGTTTTAGATCAGGATGTGGTCTGATACTCAATAGATTCGGGTGACTGTTTCGGGTGAGGGGGGGGGCGCTCCCTAAATCTCGTGTTTCAGTTTATTTAGGACGCGTCGGAGTGGCGTCTGGCATTTCACATCATCACATCATCCCTTTCCAATACCAGCATACTCTACCGTTCGCGAACTAACCATTGAAGCACGACCATGTCCATCAAAAAGTTCTTCTGCAAACATTCAAGACCGTCGAAGAGTTTGAACCCTTCGCGCTATTGAGCCCATCGACTGGTCTTCAAACAACGCAGATCTCCATCCAGACCCCAGATGAAAGTGAATCGAGCTGGCGTGAAGAACAAGCCGGGCAGAGCATTCAGCGATCCATAAAGCTGATCGAGAAGCCGTTGAAAAGATGGCTAAGCGAAGGCGACAACAGACACAGTGCAAGAGGCAGGATGCCAGAGTCAAATTGCTTGTGCCATTTCCTGGATGATGACTACAAAATATCCAACATCTCTCTTGAAGCGCTTCGGAAAAGAGACCTCTCGATCACCCAGGCACTGAATTCCCTCTCTGGCCAACTTGGCTTTGAGATTTTCTTGGCAGTGCTGGACAAGGAACTGGTTGGCTTATGTCAAGATCCCAAACCCGTCTCTTGGTATACCAGCGATCAGCACATTGAGGAGTACTTTACCGAAGAACCAAAAAGGGTGAATTTTAGGGTATTGAAGCATGTTTTCGAAAAAAATTACCGGATCGCTACGCTGGTCGGTTTGGATGGTAATTTAGTTGCGGAGAATTTGTGTCTCAATGAAAGCGTTTTGCTCGAGACAGATGGATTCAATGCGGTAAAACCAAAGGTGAAGGGTGAGAATAAAATGGACTCTGTAAGTTTCCGACCTCACTCGTGCAAGCCCCATTCACATTTCTCTATACCCTATGGTAGAGTTCTTTCAACCGCTGACTTGACGATTTCCACAGGAGCCAACTGCTACGCACTTATTTTCCAGGACTGTAAGGTTTTACGGCAACCCCCTGCACCTGACACCGGGAGCATCTTGTGCTGACTGACGATTACGTAGGCTCTGGTGATTGTTCCGCAACGTTCTCTTTCAGCTTTCTTCCAGCATACCCCGGAGCGCGGCTTCAGAAAGAACCCCATCAAAGACCCTCAATCCGCAGCCGGGTTCCTTGCCAAAGCATCTTTGCGCCCGCAAGCACCTGATATCTATTCTGATAATCTGCCAAATTACTGTCGTCATGTATCGGACAGAAGGGGCATGCAATACCGCGGAGGTACACAGAACGGGACTTCCCTAAGTGAGAAAGATGATTCAGATGTTCTCTACACTGCTTTACGGCTTGGAAACCTCGGATTATTTGATCAAGTTCTGAAAGAACACCGCCGTCTTGGCCAAGTACCGCGCGGCGTTATTGGCGGCATTCTAAAATGGCTAGACTTCGCCGACGGGGAGTCACAATCCAGGTTTGATCAGATCAAATCCAGGTACGTCTATGCTTCCTTCTTATTCTGAGGTAGTTTGAACTTTGACTGACTGATGAATGATACTACCCAGACTTGACATTCTGATTGAGGGTGGTGCCACCTTGTCACTGAAACTCCAGACTCTTACCTCTTTCGCTTCACCATCGATGCAAGAAAACGCTTCTGAAGGTGCTGTTCACCCTAATGTCCCTGATTTTGTGTTAGACTGGATTCGTAAGTCTTTGCGGAGAATTTTAGAGTTACAAAGTAAAGCCTGTCCTCTTGATTTCGAGGACGGGAGAGCTCTGGCGAACGCAACGGCGTTTCTTGTGAAACTGGAGGACTTCTGTGCGCCAAGGTATAGTGTTTCCCCCCACGCCCGAAAACATTCACTCATGATGGACGTCTTTCCAGTGTCATGGCTGTCTTACGAGGCAACTGTCAAGTGCCGAAGTTCCTTCTAGGAGCTTCCACTGGCTTTTACGAATTGCACCAGAAGTTCGCAACAGGGAGTGTTGGGGAAGTGATGCGATCTTATTCTTGGCTCGCAGCCAGACGGCTTATTTCCGAGACTAACTTTGCCCACCTGGTGAGCTGGCGGGCCTATCCTCGTGAACATCCATTGTGCTTCAATTTAGGGGAGCTGGAGAAAGCATTCACCCTTTTTTGTCGGCTAAGTTCCTCGGAGGTAGGTTCCTCAAAGGTATGTTTCTCGGAGGAGGACCTCGCAGGCGGGTTTATTACGAAGCTAGCCACCGATCTATCTGTCGCCCCGATGGAAAGGCTTCTAGATTTGTGGGTTCCATTCCTGCAGGATCTCATAAAGCTTCTGCGCAATCGTGTCCCACTCACCAGCCCACCATGCCAAAAATTATACAAAACCGTCTTCATGCGCCTCGTTAATGAGTATGTCGGGGAAGAGTCCTCCATAGGAGCGTTTCCTTCTGGAGCCCGAGTGAAGTGTGACTGTGGACTTTGCAGGGATGTCAACGCCTTTGTTGCCGACTCAAAAGCGAAGGAGCGTGGGTTCAAAGGTCTTGGCAGGAGAACACGACAACACGTGAAGCGGCAGCTGCAAGAGGCTGGAATACCCTGCTCGTTTGTGACGGCCGTCCCGAATCCGAATCTGAAAATTCTAGTTGTGACAAAGACATCCGTCCAAGCCGCAACATACGGCCAGTCATTGTCTTCTAGGAAGAAAGCGGTGCTTGGGATACTCAACAAGTTTTTTCCGACTGATCTGAAGAGGCTTTTGGGTTCAGACTACGCGCCAATTCACAATTTGAAGCCGGTGTTGCTGACGTCTGATCCCATGCCTGGGAGTGAGGGAGACTCCAATGCAGTGGGTAGAGACGACGCATTGGAAGCAAATCTGTCTTCACTCGACAATCACGAGCCTTCTACTAGAAATTCTACCCTTCGAGCGACGGCCGAGGCTTTTGTCAGTGGCAGGAACGGTCACCCTCAGACGAGTGGTTCTACCCCTGAGAATGTCATGAGCTCCAAACGACGGGCCACTGATGATGCACCACTCGCATCATCAACCGTGGCAAAGAAGCGGAAGCGAGGTTGTGCGAAACATGGGAATTGTGTGTTCGCGGCCTTGTTCGGTCGTGAGTGTTCTTGATTAAGGAGTGGGTACAAGTCAAGCCTCATCATGAGAAGCTACCCAGAGGAAGGGCGATTCGCAGCGCCCCTTTGTACAGTTTGGTCAGTTCTGGCACCACCGATGTACGATAAGGGGTTTTTGGAAGAAGCAGTTGTCTTAAGGGGTGATGAAAATGACAAGTTGTTCAGATGGATCTGGATGAAGTGGATAAATTGATCTTGAAGGTGACGTGGCCAACATTGCTACCGTGTATTTTTATCTATTGCCCCCTGATTGGCAACGGCGCTTGCTACAGGTTAGAAGTCAAGGAGTTCAAGCTGCCTTTGCCAGATCGTACTGTATGTAATACAAGCTATCCTCAGGATACATCCATGTTCGTGGTGTCGTTGGCAGGTGGCATGGTCTTGATCTCGCTCTGCAAGTAGTCGACAGGACTCTCAATCTGCTTGTGGACAGAGTGAACATTCTTCCGCTTCTCCATTATTTGGGGCTCAGCGGCCATCTTGGCTTTTGCATAGTCACTGGCAGCTTTCTCGACATCGGCGTTGAGCTTCTCTAGCTCGTTGTCGAGATCGTCGTTGTCGACTCGGAGATTTCTAAGCTCCGTCCGCGTCATGGTAAGCTACGCTTGGATGAGATGTAGGAGTTCAAGGCATCTTGGGCAGCGTCGACGGGAGCATCAATCACAGTATGAAACCCCCTACGTAGGCCGACGAACGACTTAGCGCCCATCTGGCCAGTTCCACCTGCAAGGCTGAATGCGGGACAGGACAATAGCTCGACATTAGTACCTGCGGACTGAAGGGTCTAGTATATTTCTCCATACTTTGCCTGATCTCGATTGCTCTAACCCGATAGTCTAGGGACAGGAGGTTGGGTAGAAATTTGATGGGCTGTTCTGCGCATTGGCTGCCTCACAACCACAATATTGTCTCAGAATAGATATGGCCATCCGGGCTTTTGTCTCGACTGGGATGTGAAGGCGGTTACCATCCTGCCGAGGAGTCGAGGCAATCTACTCGCTCTAGACCTCACTCTTCTTGGCGATGAACAGTGCGTTAGTGTTGTTCGACCGAGACATGACACCCTCACATGTTCACGAACGTGACTGTAGATCGCTCACAATTGAATAGCTTTTCAGATAGCTTGACATATTTCACCTGGGTCAATGGCCGCGCAAGACTTTCCCAGAACAGGACAATCCGGAAGCAGCACCAGTCTTTCTCATTCAAGCAAGCTTCATCCTAGGCGGGCTAATTCTCACCTTCCTCGCTTAGTATAACATCATGGATATGATCGGTCAAGCACATGTCATCCGCCTCTTTGGAAAAGCGTGCAGCGGTGAGGAACCGACTAGCGAGGAGCTGATGTACGACAACTGCTCGCGTCACAACATCGTCCCCTTGCTCAACAGTTCGTACATACCTGGCCCCCAGTTCGCTTACCGACCTGCGGCAACCTCTAGTTCGAGAAAGATACTCTGGATGTCTCGTACCCCCACACTGAACGAATACGATGTACGAGGTTAGCTATGAATATCTATGGAGTTTTGAGCAGTAATATGATGCGTAATTGCGGATTTCGAATCACTAGCCCACCTTCCCGCTTGCGAAGCATCGGTAAATGTGACGCTGTCCTCGGGTTTGTTCGGGTTCAGGTTCGGGCTCAGATTCATGTGAGAATCCCAAGCCAAGAAAGGCAAAGTAGTGAAAAGGGGGTGTAGCTCTTGGGTGCATATAACTCATCCACTTACAATGCAATAGTTCTCGGAGGCTATCATGTGTCCGGTCGGCCGTCGGGACCCTTGATTGCCATTTGAAGTTGTTTAAAGATGGCTGCTATCACCCGCGGAGTCCTGCACCCATAAGCTAGCTGCCGACCAAATTCTCGTCTACGCTAACATGGGCAACTTATCTGCTTTATCTCAGCTGAGTTGGTGGTCTTGGCTCACACTCTCAGCTGCAACAGTTCGTATTTTAGCTTTTGAATTCTACTGAATCAATTCTCAGGATTGCTTTATTAACAAATGTCCAGGCAGTATTACTTTTGATCTGTAAAGCAATTTTCAACGTCTTCTTTCATCCACTTCGTTCGTATCCTGGGCCTTGGTATCGGGCTGCAAGTCGATTGCCGTACAGTATCTCCATCTTTCGTGGCAGCGTAACGCATCGGGTCCAAAAGCTCCATGAAAAGTACGGTCAGGTGGTCCGAATAGCCCCAGACTCACTATCGTATACTTCCAGCCAGGCGTGGCCAGGTTCGTGACAAGCAACGTCGGTGATATCTATATGTGCATCTATGCTAATCAGGGGCTGCTTAGATGTGTATGGGCTTAAACAGTCCCAGAGACGGGGAAACCTTCCCAAGGATCCCAAGTTCTATGTTAAACCACCTGGCAGTATAGATACGATAGTGAGCTGCTTTTAAAAGGCCCAGGAAGCGATGTATACTGAATAATTTCTATCAAGTCAACAGCAAATGATGCCGATCATCGCAGGCTCCGTAGACTGCAAGCTCACGCCTTTTCGGAAAAGGCTCTTGCGTTACAGGAATCGTATTTGCAGCGGTACACTGGCAAATTCATCACGTGCCTCGAGAAGGAAGCTTCTCAGTCCGGTGGTGTCGTCGATATTGTGAAATGGGTCAATTTTCTAACTACGGACCTGATCGGCGACTTGTCGTTTGGTGAATCCTTTGGCGGGCTAGACACGGGCAAGGTTCATCCATGGCTGGAGAGTTTGTTCAACACATTGAGGACTTTTACTCTCATGAGGGAGATTTTTCGCCTGCCACCATTTCTTGTTGCCGCCGCGATGGCCTTCATTCCTGAGAAGATGAAGAAGCATGAACAGGAGTCTCAATCCTTTGGTGCCGCAGTGGCCAAGCGCAGGCTCGAACGAGGCTCCGACAGACCCGACTTCATGTCGTACATCTTGAAGCATCAGGAAGAACAAGAAAAACGGTAAGTGTTTGCCCATTTGTGCTAAATTCTCAATCGTTTATCATTTTCGCTAATATCTAGTCAGCATGTCGCAAGCCGAAGTCGAGATGGCCTCCATAACATTCATTGTGGCCGGAAGCGAGACAAGTGAGTGACTCTGCGTCGTCCATTGCCACCATGACTAGTGAAACAGGAGATCCTAATGCGATATCAGCTGCTACCATGATTTCGGGCACTATTTATCTCCTTCTCTGCAATCCATCCGTTCTGTCAAGGTTGACAACCGTGATCAGGGCGGACTTTCCTAAAGAGTCGGATCTCACAAACATCAACCTACAGCAGCATGAATATCTTAATGCCGTCCTCAAAGAGGGCCTACGACTGTACCCTCCAGCTCCCGATACTCTTTTCCGCACTACGGAAAAGGAGAGCGTAATCGTAGCGGGAAGAGTAGTGCCGCCGCACACAAAACTGACCATGAATCTCTGGGCAGCGCATAGAGACCCCACCAACTTTCGCAAGCCTCTTGAGTTCATTCCTGAGCGGTGGGTGAAGGACGCACCGTTGGAGTTCAGCAATGACGACAGAGCAGTTTTCAAGCCCTTCAGTGTGGGGCCAAGGGATTGTCTTGGGAAAAAGTGAGTGGCATCTCCGAGGGGTCTCTGTCCAGAAAGAAAACTAATTTGATCGGACAGTCTCGCCTGGGCTGAGATGCGGTTGATCCTGGCTAAACTTCTATGGTCGTTTGATCTTCTCTCACTTCAGAAAGATAGTGAACAATGGATTGAACGGCAGAAAATATTCACTCTCTGGGAGAAACTGCCCTTGAATGTTAAAGTTACCTATATTAGGTAATATAGAATAGGAAGGTTCTAGTTATATCATATGCTATGTCGAGCATTCTATATTATATTTATTTCTTATAGATATTTATATTTAGAAAAAACTCATCTCTAATTAGTTAATTATTATAAATGATAAATATAGTTAGGTTTACCTGCGGGTGAGCAGGCTGAGACTTTGTTTCTAATCAAGGGATTGAATTAAAACATAGAGCCGATTGATACTGGGGAACTTAGAATTAGAACTTAGTTCTACAGCTATTTATAAAAACATCTGCGTATAGTAGCTACTAGATCCGACTACGCACATTGATCGTGACGCTACGAAACGTTCAACGGTAAGACACCTTGATACCTCTTGCTAACATGAATCAGCCTACCCTATAAGTAGACAAGTAACACTACGTTCACCGCCGTTACTTGCGGCTTCATTTACACATGTTCACCAATATACCTCACAGAAGTCATGTTATATCTGGCACAGAAGAATAAAATTGATTGGATCAGAGGATGAAGTTTCAGACTTATTCCCATGTAAGTAGATTGTAGGCCGTGTCCTACCCGTTTAAACACAGATGTTGGCTGTGTTGCGTGAATGTCCTCGTTGGGATTTTGGCCGACCTCTCCGCCTTGTAACTGCTGAGGAGTGCGAACAGTGTCTAGGAAGACTTAACAAAGGCGGTCAGGGCATCGTGAGTAGCGTAGAATGCACCCTTGGGATAGTAAGTCTCACTGAACATCAAAGGCTTTGCGCCAGGGAGCCAAGTGTAAGCATGCTTATCCGTGAAGCCCCAGAAACTAATATCGGTGATGCCTGACTCGAGAGCCTCGGTGATGACATCGCCGTAGATTTCTGTCTGGAGAGTAGCGTTGAGTGTATGGATATCCATTTCGGCAATCGTGACTTCCAGGTTCAGCGCCTTGTAGGAGTTGACCATCTCCGTAATCACGCCAGGTACAAGGGGCACTTCGGTAATATGCATCTGCAGGGCGACTCCGTCAATTGGGACGCCGTCCGCCACAAGTCCGGAGATCAGGTCGTATAGGTCCTGGCGTTTAACGGGGTAACTCTCGATGAGATTCTCGTTGAGAAACAGCTTGGCGTTCGGGGATACGGCTCGCGCAATGTGAAAGGCCTCTGCAATATAATCAGGGCCAAGGACCTTATAGAAGTCGTTAACTTGCAGGCCGCCGCCCATTACTTCGATGGGCTCGGTCACGACGTCCCAACGATCTATCTTGCCCTCATACCGGTGCATGATGGCTTCAAAGTGAGCCGTCATCTTAGCCCGGAACTTTGTGGGATCGGTGACATTGAGAAGATAGTCAGGGTTGCAGCAGTTCGAGATGAGCCCGTGGCCCTTAACCACCATATCGTTTGCTTTCGCGAAGTCAACGAGGCGATCAAGCGTCTCCCAGCTGTATATCCCTTCAGAAGGGCTAATGAACCGCCACTTCATCTCATTTTCAGGAGAAAGGCTGTTGAACTGGTTCGCAAGAACGGCGGCGAACTCAGGATCATCGAGATATGTCGGATTAATCGCGCCAGACCCGAAGAGAAGGTTCTTCTTCGCCGCCTCCTTCCTTAACGGCGTGGTTCCAGTCCTGGGAAACCCACAGCTTTCCCCAGACACTGTAAGAAGCGCGAGGATGGTGGCAATACCAAAGGGTTTCATGGTGCTTCGTGATGATGTGTCTGGATTTGGAGGTCGAATATAGGCGAGAGCGGGAGCTAATCGGGATGGGATGAATGAGAAGCAAGAAGCGATAAGGGAAGAAGGCCTTGATTCGGACGGACGAGACATCCCATATATCTTTGTCTAATGGTGATGGAGCTCGATGATCACAATCTCGGACTTGCGTTTGAAACTCCACCGGCAGATGTGCATGGCACGATTCATGAACTTGAAAATGGTGCATTTCAAGATCCCTGTCAAGTCTTACGCCCATCACCGAGAATAGAAGAGGGGTCTTGGGTTGTCGTCGTATATCAATGTGATGCTCGGACAAATGTACGTTTCGGCAACTATGCTTGGTGTGTTCCCGTATAGCTTTAGGCCGCCAAGGAGATGACCTCGGTCCGCTTCGTCGTTGGAAGCTTCATTGACGGTTACGAAAAGGCCCGAAATTGCCAAACCGAAGCCTACGTCAACATCATGGATATTTTTCAATAGCCACATCCGGTAGATGAGTATCCTCACAAAGCCTCTCGTAGCGCCCGTCTTAGCGGTTCAGTGTTCGTTTACCAGCACGGTGCCATTGTCAGAGTGGCGAGATGCCGTTGCAAAGAACTAGAATAACCCTACAGGCAAGGCGGGAACGGAAGGTACACGCTTTAGCAGGTGAACCAGGATCATAGTGAAAGCGGCGAATGCGACCTAGCCGCGCCTCCTCCCCCTCTCTACTCTCTTAGTCTGAATGGCGCAAGTAGTATGAGCTAATGCAAGAACAACTTTTCACTCCCAGTCCCTCATCAAGAGTGGATAAAACAACCGCAATCTTGGAATGTGTTGAGTGATCGATGAACGAATCAAGGATGAACGATGAAGCCTTACTACTGTAGTGGGCAGTCCAGTCCAATCTAAGAGCAGAAGTGGCTAGCCAGATCCAATGGATCCATAGATCCGCAGGCTGTGGTACTCGTTCTTTTCGTTCTTCTTAAACGAGCTTCGTTTAGCCCTTGGCATGGTGGATCTCACTCGGTTGCACGGAGAACCCCTGTCATCGAACCCTCCCTCGTTGAGCTCCACGTTCCGCGCGTTGTTGAAAGAGGCTTGGCGAGTCGCTGCACAGCCGTCTTTGGGCAAGACTGCCCACGGGTCTGTAGGAAACCATGGACCAAACATGGGATCCAAGGGTTTCGAGAGCTGCTGTTGCCCCCAACTCAACGGTTCGGCCATCGGCAGTTCCCCCATTAATGCACGAGCTGTGTGCTCAGTCAGGTTTCAGAATCCCAAGCCATGAGGAACATGTACATCGAGAACTTTAGGAGGTCCCAATTCAGGTCCATATGGCCAGTTTCGCTGGCCGAAATACAGCGACTGTGAGACAATGAAAAAAAAACAAGGCCCGACCATGTCACACAGCCTCTAGGCAAAGAGGGGGTGGGCCTCTGAGCGAACTCTTACTTTTCTCATAACGACACCCAGCATTGCTGCTGTGGTGTTACAAGTAACTCGGCGGAGTGATGGCCGAGAACGGGTATCGTACTTCTATAGACAGACTAAGAATCTCAACTGCTGGGGGACTTGGGACGATGGAACGCGTCATCTCAACTAGCGCTTCGGTATGCAAAACACAGGTGGGTGCCTGCGCTGGCTGCGGGCAGTTCCGTCGACAAGGTTTCGGTTCATCTCGACAGCTGTTGACATCCCTTCATAAACGGCCAAGTTTTTCCGCACACGACAGTTCGATCTGCCCTTTTCCCCAGCACAACAGGCGTTCTTTAGACTCAGCGTATCGCCCTTCCAACATTCGCTTCCGGGTCGCCACGTTCAGACATACATTGCCCCGAGAGCAGCATTCGAAGTATGGCTGACGATAAACGACAGACGAAGTCGCTCAGTGCCCTCGCCAACGAACAAGATGAGGATTTGAATCGCACCCAAACTCGGACGCCGGCGCCAGCGTATGAAGCGGACGCAACATCATATATGGATTTCTGCCCCGACGCTGTTGAGCTTCCAGCACATGAGCGATGGACTGCTGTCACTCCAGCATCGGCCGCCCAACTCTGGGGCGCGAATGCGAAAGTTGGAGGTGCGTTAAAAATGGAACAAGCGGCTGGGGCAACATCGGTCTTGCAGTCGCATCGTTGGACAATACGCTGTTAAGCCGTGTCGGGATCCTGGCGGCTCCTACAGGTTTCGAGTTGGATCGGAGTTGCAAGCTGATGACACTCAAACAGATGATGCCAGGTTGGATATTGACTTTGATTCCAAGCTGGTGCGAGCGCTCTCTATCATGTATCAGAAGCCTCACGCTACCGAATCCAAGCCACAGGTTGCAAGGCCACAACCAACGTCATGGGTGACAAAGATGAACATCGTTATCCATGTTGTGGGCAGCCGGGGGGATGTGCAGCCGTTCATCGCTCTAGGACAGGAGCTCCAGCGATATGGCCATCGCGTGCGACTAGCAACCCACGATATATTCGAAAAGTCTATTCGAGCATCAAATCTTGAGTATTACCCTATTGGTGGAGATCCGGCAGCACTGATGGCATACATGGTAAAGAACCCTGGTCTTATCCCGAATATGGAGAGTCTTACGGCCGGCGAAATCCAGCAGAAGCGGTATATGGTTCAGGAAATGCTAGAGAACTTCTGGAGGTCATGCATTGAACCAGATACTCTTACAGGCCGCCCATTTGTAGCGGACGCTATTATTGCTAATCCGCCTAGCTTTGCACATATCCATTGTGCGCAAGCCCTCGGTATACCCGTGCATCTCATGTTCACTATGCCATGGAGTAATACTACCGCCTTCCCTCACCCATTAGCGAACCTCCAGAATGCGGGTCGTGACCCGGCCTTCGCGAACTACATATCCTACAGCGTCGTTGAATGGTTGACGTGGCAGGGGTGAGTGCACTCCCGTTGTGAACTCTTTACTTATGAAGAAAGGGCTCTACTGCTTCACAATGGGCTGTACTGAAACTCTTGGACTCTAGCCTCGGCGACGTCATCAACAAATGGCGGAAGAGTATCGATCTGGAAGAGGTGGCCATGTTCGACGGTCCTATGCTGGCGAATACTCTAAAAATCCCATTCACGTACTGCTGGTCACCAGCTCTGGTCCCAAAACCCGCCGATTGGCCTTCTTACATAGGTTCGACTCTGCGGTACACACCTTTTTCGCGCTTCCTAAGACTGACCTAATACATATAGATGTTTGCGGCTTCTTCTTCCGAGAGGCGCCAGACTACTCTCCACCCGCAGATTTGGATCGATTCCTCGCCAATGGGCCCCCTCCGGTTTACATCGGGTTCGGAAGTATCGTACTCGACAATCCAGATGAGATGACAGGAACCATCATACAGGCTGTCAACGCTGCCGGAGCCCGCGCCATCATCTCAAAAGGCTGGGCCGATTTAGCCGGAACAGACAATGAAAATATTTACTGGATCGGCGATTGCCCTCATGAATGGCTGTTCCAGCAAGTTGCTGCCGTCGTTCACCACGGAGGTGCGGGTACGACTGCTTGTGGTCTGAAAAACGGAAGACCTACCACCATAGTGCCCTTTTTTGGAGAGTAAGTCGCTGTATCTTACCAACTAGTGAATGTTTATGCATACCTTTCATCGTAGTGCGTAGACCCTGAAACCAGAATATGAGCTGATAGCCACCGGCTGAAAGTCAACCCTTCTGGGGCCAGATGGTTGCCAACGCTGGTGCAGGCCCGCAACCTATACCACACAAAAGTCTCACAGCAGACAATCTCGCCGATGCTATTCGATACTGCCTATCGCAGCAGGCTGCGATTGCCGCAGCATCTATAGCGGCGAGCATGGAGTCGGAGGCCGGAGTTCAAGCCGCTGTGCAGTCTTTTCACAGACAGCTCCCCCTCGAACGTATTCGGTGCGACCTGATTCCTTCCGAGCCAGCTTCTTGGACATATACCAAGACAAAGAAACCACTGAGGCTGTCAAAAATGGCTGCAGAGATCATTCTATCCAAGACTTCTGCTGATTCAAAACACATGAGGATGTTAGTAGCCACTTCCCCATCTAACTTTTCCGCGGACATAAAATTAGTATTTTGACGAGGCGCGCAGCTATGAGAGTAATCCCACCATCATCGAGACAACCAGGTGGGATCCCATTACCGGCGGAGCATCGGCGGTAATGGGAACGGCGACTGACATGGCCGGGTCCGTCACGGGCATGGTAACCAAGCCGATCGAGGAATACCGAGACGCGCAGCGGCGCTGGGCTCGCGAGTCCCAACGGCGCCAGGATCGAGATGACGCTGCCGATCAAGCCAACAGGTCCAGTGGTGACCGATCGATGTCTTCCGCAGGGCAGCAGGCACAGATGAAACAACCGTCGGTGGTCGGCAAAATGGTTGCCGCATCAGCCAAAAGCATCGGCGGCATCGCGCCCACCGCCACCAAGGGCATGCTGGTTGATTTTCCCCTCGCCCTCACCGAAGGTTTAAGATCTATACCGACGCACTATGGCGATAAAGCTCGCGACCATGGCCCCGTCACCTCTGCTGCAAGCGGTGCGGCGGTTGCCGGCAAGACCTTTGCATGGGGTTTTGTTGATGGCATTAGTGACCTTATAGTGCAACCCTATAAAGGTGCGAAGAACGACGGCGCTGCGGGAGCCATAAAGGGACTCGGTAAGGGTGTGGTCGGCCTGACGACAAAAAGCGGTGCCGGCATGTTTGGCTTATTTGCGTACAATGCGGCTGGTATTTCTAGGAGCATTCGGTCGGCAACACATGCTGGAACGCGAAAGGCCATTGCAAAAGCGCGGCACGCGGAAGGACTATGGATGATTGAAGCGGGAGTAGTAGACGACATCAAACAATCGGAGGTAACTTCAGCATTCAAGGAATGGCGGGACAATGTTTAAAGTAGCACGAATACTATTGCGGCTCCACGCTCACCCCAAGGCTGAACATCTTAAGATATCATGGATAATGTACTATATTATATTATAGGGACTATTAGCGGAAAGTTTCCCTCGGCAGAGGTGGCATTACGCCGCTATACAGGAAAGGTAGACCACGTATCGGCTCGACCTGAGAGGGGACTAATCTCCTCCTCTAAAGTAAAACTTTGACGGCATGGTCGATGTTCACAGGAGAATATGGCTAGATTTGAAAGAGCGGTTGGACCTTGCTTAGCTGCTCCGGCTTAAGATTGTTGCTATTAGCTAGAGAAGAAGAGATGCATCTAGCAGGGCAATCTGGCTATACTAGTGGGCCTGGTGGCTATATACAAAAAGGCAAGGGGAAAGGCAACAATGGCGGCGGTAGTATTCTTGGCTCTATTGAAGTGCGTCACCGAAAGGGTAAGCGAGCGACTGAGGAGAACTAGATCAAGAGGCAAGGGGGCCATTATGTGTGTATTTTAACATGTTGGTTGGTATAGGGTTGTTTCTTGAATACAAACATCATACTCGCTGCAAAACCTTGCTAGCTGTTATTACGATCTACAGCACTGCTAGAAGATAAGCCCCTACTAGCGACCCAACGCCGTGTGAAGATCAAAAGCATATTAGCTGCAATCATTACAACTGCCATTTCTCTCGTGCCTTTCTTTGTAGCTGGGAAGGCTCATGCAGCTGGCTTCAAAAAACACCTCAGTCCACTTGGATAACTGACTCTCCCATCATTCATTATAACAAACAATCTTTATGAACCTGACTAGTATGCTCTAATGACGACCAAAAGCAACGACGAACTTGATTTGATCAATAATTAAAGAGATACTTAATACTCAATAAGTATTTGATTAATGATGATATTCTCAAGCCTTATAGATATAAGTGATAGGTGAATAAACTATATTCTAGGTAGGATCGTAGGATTTAGTGTTCAGGAGGCTACGCCTCCTACATAGGACTAACATTCCCAGGCCGCTCCATTATTCCAGCAAGTAGACTTGGTATCTAGTCAGACACATGGGTCTCCTTCTATGCACTAGATATGGCTTGTAACGGGTTTGCCGTCCTGGATATCCGAGTAAGCCTTTCCCTTACGGTCAATATCGGTCTCCCCGTCAACTCTTTAACTCGGTGTTCGGGATCAGCGAGAGCAGACGGCTCACGTCGAAATGGATTGAATCGGGTCTCAAAAATCTTGTCGATATCCTCGAGGGCCAGGCCCTGAGCGGTTCACTCATTGTCAGCAAATCCTCCCTCTCAGCAGCAAGTGTTTGACAGGAGACCTACCTTAGTCTCAGGGAGGAAGAAAAATGTGAAGATGAGCGCCGAGATGGAGATGCCGCCAAACACCCAACCAGTTCCGAATTTAAGGTTGGCGATCATGTAAGGGATCACGTAGTTGGTCACAAACGCCCAGATGACATTCCACGCCGCCCCTAGAGATTGGGTCTTTTCGCGAAGGGCAGCATTGGGAAGCTCGGCTCCAAGAAGATAGGGGATCGCTGCTCCACCGCCCTTCACTCATTTGTCAGTCACAATCGCGAGCTACTATAGGTTAAGAAAAATCGCCTACATTATATGAGAGTGAGAAAAGCATAAGGGACGCGACGACAAGGTTGTTCTCCGGGGCGGTCTTCTGAGCCTTTGAACCAACGCCCGCTAATATCATCACCCAGAAAGCCTGGAGGCTAAAGCTGGCCAGGAGGAGGTTTCGACGACTATATTATAGCAGTTGGGCGTTAGTGTCCATGGTTCCAGTCCGTCCAATACAGTCCGAGAAAATTGCACTCACCCCATATATTCGATAAGATACATGGCTGGGATCACAACTAGTGTGTTGAGACAGTACAAAATAAAATGACGGGGTAGGTAAATGCCTGGTCTGCATAGCCATTCTCCTTATAAAACACTGTCTGATATGTCGAGACGAAGGCTTGGCCGGTTGTCTGCACTTCCCTGCATTAGCTGATAGCCAAAGATAATATTGCTGTTTTTTAACCCTCTACTGACCTGCTGATAAAAATAAAATACAATCACCAACATGGTTCGTCGAAGGTTGGTACCGCGGAAAAGGTCGATCCAAGGCCCCTTGTGTACGTGCTCTTGAAGTGCCGCGCGGATTGTCTGGATTTCAGCCTCACAGGTACCATCCTCAGCATCTGCTTTGGGCCGCAAACGCTTAAGAGCTGCAAGAGTTTCTTCCTCGCGGTCTTTGGGTAATAGCCAGCGAGGCGAATGAGGAATGAGGAAGCTGAAGATAACAATAACTGGCAAAGTCAGCCCCGCCCGCAATTCGTCCAACGCATATTGTAGAGTAAAGTCTTCATACAAACAGGGAAGACGAATTGAATAGCGGTAATGATCTTCCAGCCAAGGCCACTAGTGTACGTCGAAAAGGCTTTATTTAGCCCAACTGCAATGATTGATCCAAGATTCAGAAACAGCTGGAGTGAGATGACAACAAAACCGCGCAAAGCTGGCGGAACAATTTCGGATTGGTAGGTTCTAAAATCCTTTTATTCAGCTTCTTCATACGCTCGAAGTATTCAACAGCATTGCGAGCGTGCGAACTTACGTGACGTCGACTTCAACAAGGCCAACGGAGATGTAGACAATGATTCGACCAACGATGAACTGTGCGTAGCGCCCAGTGCCTACTCCATCATCCGCAGCCGTGATCTCAACTATTTGATCGTAAGCTACCGGCTCACTGTCGCTGATCGAGTATAGAACTACTCACTGATAACACCAATGATAGAGATGATAGACAGGGCAACGAAGACTGCGCGATGTCCAAACCTCTCAATGGACGGACCGGCAATCAGACAACCGACGAACTTGCCGATAACGGCTAAAGAGGACAGCAGGGAGACGTATAAAGGTTCAAATGCGTAAGTGTGGGTTTTGGGATTGTGGGTAGCGAATTGTCGGAGAAGGCCCTTCAGGTAGTCGATCTCGTTAGTAAAGGAGGAGGCTATGATAGGGCCTTCCGTGGTCCTATGATCTCTTCTTCAAGAAAATGGTTCTTACCGGATTGGCTAGAATGCCTCCGAAACTGGCGGTATCGTACCCGAAGAGTACATCTCCCACCAGCAGGCAAAAGCAAGAGAAGAACAGCATCGGGGTGACGCTAGCCCAAGCAGAGGGAGACTTCTCTCCTACAGACGCCGTCATCGTTGTCTAAAGCGGTCGAGAATATTGTCAAAATCCAAAGATGGGAGAAGGATAATGGGGGATCGGGCGAACGAGAATGTCGAGGTGCTGAAGGGGAAGGCTGGTACTCGAGGGGATGCTGGCCTGTTATAAGAATTCGAGAACACGTCGTGAATTGTCCTGGGGCGTTCGTCATGGAGACTTCTGAGTTTGCTCTCCAGGACCCCATTATCTGAGGAAACATGGGGGAAGAGATTGGAGGGTTTCCCCGTCAAAAGCCAAAACTCAGGCAGTATAGTTGATTGTCAACTTCTGATTCCCAGCATTGTGGGTCGAACTAGAGAAAGATTTCCGAGCGAGGCCCCGCCTCCTTTCTTCACCCGACACATTCACCAATAGAGATGGGCTTTGTTCCGAGCGAGGTACCATGCTACCTAAGCGAGGTAAATACCGTCTACCTAAGGCTCCGAGCGAGATAACACCCCGCAGACCATCAAAGTTCCGAGCTACCCTTGTTGCAGGACGAGCTCTTCATTAAAATTGACGTTCCTCATCGTGAAGCTATTTCGCAAAGACCTGTCGAAAGCGAGAGTGTGTTTGACTTAGTAATTCCTCCCCCATTAAACTATTTTATCACTTTCGCACTTCATGGCCATCACGAGTAGTAAACCGGAGTCGGTGCCGAAGCGCCCGAACATTCTCTTCATTCTCGCAGATGACCTGGTAAGCTCATCCCAGCATTACTGAACGACAGCAATACATGATCTTGAATGCTGATACGTGGATCTTGAACCAGGGGTTCTCAGATATTGGATGCTATGGCTCAGAGATCCAGACGCCCAACATTGACGAGATGGCAAGTGGGGGCATTCGCATGCTCAATCACCACGCCGCTTCCGCATGCTCTCCCACCCGCGCGATGCTCCTCAGCGGCACTGACGCTCATCTAGGGGGTCTAGGGGTTCTGATCGAGTATAAAAACAACGAGAAGGGTGCAAAAGATGGTCGGGCAAGGCTGGATATGAAGGGTATCTCAACGATGAGGTGGCTGCTATTCCGGAGATCCTCCAAGAGAATGGGTATTTCACTCTGATGTCGGGCAAGGTGAGTGTTGTTGCAAATTACATTCTCGCTCAACGAATGCTGAACTGGAGTCTAGTGGCATCTTGGCATGCGAGCTTCTCAGGGGCCATGGAATCGGGGCTTCGAGAAGGCGTTCGCCATGCTGCCGGGCTGCAGCAATCACTACGGCTGGGAACCAGTACAGGAGAGATTTCCCGTTGGGGGCCGACCTATACACGCTGAGGCGGGTGTGAAGGTTGACATGTATTTGCCGAATGAAGTTCTTTAGGGCGAGAGAGCTTTTGCTAACGTTAAGCTGACTAGTTCGCCGAATAAAACGGAGGATCCCGAGGGGTTCTATTCGACCGATTTCTACACCAACCGACTCCTCGAGTATTTCCAAGGCCGAACAGAAGAAGACAAGGAAAAGCCATTCTTCGCCTTTTTGCCGTATACTGCCCCCCACTGGCCTTTGCAGTGTTCGAAGGAACAGCGTGACAAGTAAGAAACCACCGATTGTTGCCGGACCCATCCTCGATCGGGCCAATTCTTACAATTTCCCACGGACAGGTATAAAGGAGTATACGATGATGGCCCTCTGGCACTCCGGGAGCGTCGGCTACAAAAACTTGCCGATCTTGGCATCATTGACAGAGATGTTATCCCACACAAGGTCGAGACATCGACTATGGGAATTGGGGAGTGGGATGAACTCAACCCAGAGGAGAAGAAGCTCTCGAGCCGAGCAATGGAGACTTATGCTGGGATGGTTGACTCCATCGACGTCAATGTGGGTAGAGTGGTTGAGTATCTGAAGAGGACTGGGGAATATGATAATACATTCATCGTTTTTAGGAGCGATAATGGGGCCGAGGGAGCTGCGTGAGTGATGAGTACTTTCCTTTAACCCCTTCTCTCCAATCGGAGTCTTAGCTAACCATTATCCTCTCGCCGTTCTAGTCTGGGAGCTGTTCGTGCGTACAATATCTTTCCCTCCATATTTCATGGCTAACCATTTTCTAGCTGTAATGGGAGAGAATATCAAGCAAGCCATTCACCAATACTATGATAACTCGCTTGAGAACATCGGATCGTGGAATTCGTACACGTGGTACGTTATAGAATACCTCGCAACCTTCTAAATCCGTTCTAATTGCAGTCTCAACCAGGCTCGGCCCGCTTTGGGCTCAAGCATCAACTGCCCCGTCAAGATTGTTCAAGTGCTATCCATCCCAAGGCGGCATTCTGGTTCCCTGCATCGTCAAACCGCATCTCTAACATCGGAGGCTCACTCCCCGGTCCGGTTTATGCACTCCTCTCCGGCCTCAACGCCTCGACCGTCGGCATCATCGCAGTCGCCGCTGTTCAACTGTCAGAAAAAGCCATTACCGATAAAATAACCCACTTAATCGTCTTCCTCGGAGGCGCGGCCGGCATCCTATATAACGCGCCGTGGTACTTCCCCATCTGATGTTCCTGGCCGGCGTCGCAACCGTCATTCATGATTATCGCTGGCTCCACGGCCCTGTCAAGGTCGTCGTGAGCGTGGTGAAGAACCCCAGAAGACGACGCCTAGCAGCAGAGCCAGAATCCGTCGAGCTTTCCGAGCTTTCGCAGGCACAGTTTGTTAATCAGCACAACCAGTATAATCAGCACAACCAGTATAATCAGCACAACCAGTATAATCAGCACAACCAGTATAATCAGCACGACACTGCTACCGCCACTGCTACTTCTTCCGATGCTGCGACACAACGGAATGAGGCAGGGACGCCAAGCCGAGACAACGATGCGGAAACTCTTCCGGTTACTGAGAACGGGCATCCAGAGACCGAGTCGGAACCCCGCATTGTCCCACCAGAACGCAGTCTCAATTTCTCCTGGACCTTCGGCCTCGGCATAATTGTCTTTTTCCTCATTACTTTCGTCGTTCTCATGGTCCTGCGCGGCGTGTTGCCTGTCAAATCGCTCCTCTTCAGCTTCTTCGCAAATATGTACCTTGCAGGAACTATCATCTTCGGCGGAGGTCCCGTCGTCATCCCCCTACTCCGCGAATACGTCGTCGCCGAAGGCTGGGTTAGCCCGCGAGACTTCCTCATCGGCCTAGCTATTCAGCAGAGCTTTCCCGGTCCCAACTTCAACTTCGCCGTGTACCTTGGCGCCCTGACTGCAATCAACGGGGGTTACAACTCGGCTGCAGGGGCTGCACTAGGATTTATTGGCATCTTTGCCCCAGGCCTCATTACCGTTCATGGCACCATGGGCATATGGAGTGCTATCCGCGGCCTTAGATAGGTAAAGTCGCTCCTCAGAGGCGTTAATGCTGGTGCCGTCAGGCTCATTAACCGCAGTCTACCGCCTGTAGCAAATCGGCTACATAGACGAAAATTTCCAGCAGGGGACAAGTCTCGCACAGGAACCATGGTGGGTTGTCGTGACGGCATCGAGCTTTGTCTTCGGCTACTCTTTTGGCGTGAACCCTCCGGTCGCTATCATCATGGGCGCTGTGCTGGGCCTAATCTAGTATGGGGTTGTCAAGACTTAATTTAATGTAAGATGGACGGATAGTTTCTCCATTTTAACTTCACTCCAGGGGAATAAGTATAGCACCTCCACCCTCCCTACTATCCATCCTAAAGGCTTTCCAGCCCGCCTTGGGGAGGTCAATCGCGTCGTCCTCAGCTAAGAATTTCATAAACACACCATGAGTGACAATAACTACATTCGTCCTTCGCCTCTCGTCATTCTCTTCTCTATCCTTCTCGAGTGAAGCAATAATCTCACGCAATCTCTCGCGGAATCGTTGCGCTCGTTTAACGACCGCAGCATCATCCGCGGCGTACAACCCCTCTTTGATGAACCATTCATGCCCCAAGTCCCCAAAATCGAGACCTGGAAAGGCTTTGCTCAGTTCAGCACGTCCAGACCCGGTGTCACAAGGAAGGTCGCTGCGCTCCTGAAGGTCGGGGTCGATAATGAGCTGGGCGCCACCTGCTGCATCTTTGCGGAAGACTTGAGGGAAGCCGGCGGTCGTAGTTTGCAACGTGCGTGTAAGTGGAGATGTGAGAACGACGGCGATTGAGGCTGGGTCAGGGAAATTTTCAGTCAGATTTGCTGCCTGGGCCAAGCCGCTAGGGGTAAGAGGTGGATCTCGTTGTGTGAAGTCTTTCAAGATGTTGTGCTCCGATTCGGCGTGACGGACGAGGTAGATGACTGACGACATGGCTGTTCTTTACAGAGTTTCGTAGTTTGCCCTTGTGAAAGGGTTCGTAGATTGTTTCCATGCCATCGGTGCTGCGATGTGCTGATAGCATTGCTATATAGGTAACCGAAGAATATTAGATTAGAAAGAACGCCATCAGTACCTAATATGACACCATCGACTACTAAAGCTGTCCCCATTCTGTGAATGACTCACGCAGGTTTCTTGTATTTATGACCGCTTCTGCACTTAGAATTCCTCATCCCTATCCTCCTTTCTTTCTTACAGAATAGACCACGTTTTTGCTCCGTTTGATGCCTGGTGGATGGCTACGATATTTGTCAGTATGGGTGGATGGATGGATGTGTAGATTTTATTTTTCACCTGGGATAATCCCTAGAATAATCCCTAGAATGACAGAATTTATTTCTATTTCTATGAATCGAATGTATAGGCACGTGACGCTCCAATTGATCAATTTGCAGAGCCCGCTTTGGTGGTCGATCGTGGTGAAGTTCGTGATGAATGCGGCTTCACGGACCCTTTGGTGGCCCGAGTTTACCGCACGATCGACAACCATGGAAAAGCCGCATTGACCGGATGAAGAGCTCGCCTGAAGGTGGCTTCACATCCAGGAAGTGGATGTATGGGAGGGGCAGCATCGTTGGTGTGCTGAACCCTACGTTGCGGGTGAGTTCGGCTTCACATCAAAGGCAACGTTCGACAGCGGCACAGCGATATCGAACGAGTTGTCTCCGCAGACAGCAAAGACCGAGCTAGGAAAAAGACGACCCCTTTTAGCAGCAGCTCGGGTACTTCTCCATCTAAAGGCAATACGGGCCCTTCCTTTGTTAGAGGGACAAATGAACGGGGGGTTGGGCAAAGAGGAAGACCTGGATGATAAATCTCACGCAGCCTGAACAAGAATCAACGAGTGAGTGGTCTTAGAAAAAAAAAAATGAGAGAAAGCGGCGCCGCTGAGTAATGAAATGCCAGATTCCATAGCGGACCGCCAAAAAAGGGCAATCGTTGTAGCAGGTAAGCGTTCTATTCGGTGCAGCGAAATAGTTACGGTGTAGAACTGAGCAATAAATACTAGGAACAGACTTGGCAGTGGCGACCCCGACGAAAAGGAGATGTATTTAGAAGCAGAAGAGCGGTAGATATAGAGCAGGGTTCAGGTTATATAGGGATACTAGTAAAGGGATTAGGCTTATTATAGGCTTTTTAATCTTATACTCTTTAAAAATACTATTTAGTTATACTAATAGTTTAAAATTATAAACTATATCTAATTAATAAATCTTAGAAAATAGCTATATTTATATTTAGGAATCTAGCTATAGATAGCTAGATTTTGCTACTCGGATAACTATAATACTTCTATTTCATGTCCTACCTGTCCTCATCGCCACCGTAGCAGTGGCACTCACAAGTCCTGGGGGTGAAACTGCTGATTCTATATTAATGGAGCGAAGCTGCCTGCCCCTTCTTATTATAACGATGTAAGTTAACGTTATAAATCCTTATTCATACATATTCCCGAGTCAATAACGAGGCACTATTAATACAGCGGAGTAGCAATTGCCCCTATTGGCATATAAGTCTGGTTCCTAAGAAACCGATACCAACTGGAGGCCAGATTTTAACCATGTTCACTGTGCAGCGCAAGTGCGGCGGTTGTGCATGCTGCTGATCGCCTTCTCGGTGTTTAGGACAGTTAGCAAAGATCGTGAGCCGAGTGTGGAATCATCGGAGTGGGATTTAGTTGCAATCAGCGATGGAGGTACAGTGCCTTAGGAATCAGGCCTTACTCTGCTGTGTCTTGAAATCATGTTAGCTCCGTGTCACAAAGCAAAGGAGCCTGGGGGAACCCGAGTTGGTCACTTGGTCACTTTCTGGCCTTGCTATATATCTCGCTCAAATTAACACATCATTATGCAATTATTTCTTAATTAATATTTATTCCGATTGCTAAGTATAGTTTAATAAGGGCTATATAGTAAAGTAAAAAGCAGTAAATTAAATAAAAGAGTAATAATAATTAGAATTAAAAGCAGCTATTAGAAGGTTCTAACTAAAAATTAGATAAGTATATAATTAGTTAGATCTATCTAATTAATTAATAAGATTAGCTATTAATAATCTAATAAGAATATAAAGTCTATTTAATATAAACTTATTAAATCTATTAATTAAATATATTAGTTATATATAATCTATTTTTTTTATATTAAATAACTAAATTATTATTAATAAACTATTTTAATAAATAATTAGAAATAGATTTAATAAAATAATCAGTAAGATTATCTTTATTATTAATTTAATATATTTTTATTAATTTATAGTATTTATATAATTAATATAAAACTATTATATTAATTATAAATTATTTTTCTTTTATTATACTAAGTTTAATCAGATCTTTATATAATAAATATAAATCTATATATTATATTAGGGGAAAAACAAATAATACTATAGTTATTAGTAAACTTAAAATATAGACTACTAACTATACTAAAATCTAATAATCTTCTATAATAGCTATAAAAAGAAGATTTTAAGTTTTATATATATTCTTATTTAATTAAATAGTTTATATTTATAGCTAGTTAATTAATCTATTATAACTACTATAATATAGCTAAAAGATATATCTTTTATAAAAAGAAGTTTTTAAAAGTAAAAATAATAATAGATAAAAGAATATCTTTTTCTATAGATACTAAAAAATAGCTAATTTATCTAATCTAGCTAAATTAATAAATAGATTCTAACTTATAGCTCTCTAGATATAATATATATATCCTTATATCTCTATTATATTTAAATTTTTAGAGCTATTCTTAAAGTCTAAAGGATTTTTAACTTCTATCTATATATAGAGAACCTTTTAATTAAATAATTATATATAAATTTAAATTAAATACTTACTAAATCCCTATTTTATTAGTATCTAAAGAAATATCTCTTTTATTACTTAAGAATATTATATTAATATTTATTTAAAATTATATAGTACTAATTCTAATTTTTCTTTATAAATTTAGCTTTATTTATTAGTATTCTACTCTATATTATCTTATATATAAAATAAAAGAAATAATTAAAAGCTTATAATTTAATTAACTATACTAACTATATCTATACTCTTCTTACTAAAACTATTTATTCTAATTTCTTTACTTTAATATCTCTATAACTATATTACTCTCTTTAATTAATTCTCTAAAGAAATTTAAAATTTAGTATTTTTATATTATATATAAAACTATTTAATTAAATAGTTCTAGTTTATTTTATTTTCTTAAAAAATCCTATTAAAATTTAATAGTAGATCTTTTTTCTTTATTTAAGTTCTTAGTATTATATAGTATCTTATTAAGTAGCTCTCTCTTTTTAAAATAGATTTAATAAAGTTTTCTCTAGAGTAATACTCTTAAAGAGAGTTATTATAATATTATTCTAATCTATAGAGTTTATAAGATTAATAAGAGTTATAGTTATATATATATAGGAGGTCTAGTAATTCTTTATATAAAGAGCTATAAGTATAAGCTTATTAGCTAGATAAAGAAGTTAGATCTCTTATATAAACTTTCTAAATTCCTTAATAACTAATATCTATATAAGATTATTATTATAGTTCTAGAATAGATTATTAATAAGAAACTTATTAATTTATTTCTATTATTCTTTTATAATTTATTACTTAATATTAATAATAGTATTTTAAATTTCTATTTCTCTAAAAAAGAAAAAATTAATTCTAAATAATAAGCTTTCTCTTATAATATCTATAGTAATAATAAACTAACTAAATATATAGAGTATTCTAGAAATTATTATAGAAGAATAATATCTTCTAGAGGGTATTAATAGTAAGAATAGTATTTAATCTATTAGAGATAATAATCTAAGAGGAGGAGAAAAAGATATATTAAGATATATTAAGCTTCTAGATATACTTCTAGTATTATTATAAATACTTAAGCTATAACTATAGCTTTTAGATTTATTTTTTATTTATTATTTAAAGTTAGAGTTACTAAAGAATAAGAAAAAAGGGATTTTAAGAATTTTAATTATTCTATAATCTTAAGATTAAAACCTAAGATTAATCTTAGAGATTAGTATAATTTCTCTCTTCTTTTCTTAAGCTATTACTAATCTATCTAATTCCCTATAATCTCTCTATTTTTAGATAATATTAGTATATAGATATAGACTAGATAGTTAAATTTAGTATATAAAAGAGTTAATTAAAGAATTTTCTAGAAAGATATTATATATAGAAATCTTAGGAGTAAGAGTAAATTTTTTATCTTTTAGAATAAATAAAGATACTAGTAGTTAGAAAGTACTTACTTTAGGATATATATAATAAGTTCTCTATTTCTTTAATTTCTAATATAGTATTTTAATATTAATAGAAAGTATTTTTCTAAGTTTAGTATAAACTTTCTAGATAGATTACTAACTATTAAAACTAGAAACTATAAAGATTTTTAAAATAATATATTTTTTTTCTTTTATCTATTTAATAACCCTATTAGTTATTACTCTTATATTAATATAGTTTAATTTATTTATATAAATCCCTATTATAAGTAGAGATATATTTAATAGGGATTTTATAGTATTTATCTAATAGTTCTAATTTTTAATATATAATTAGATTATTAATATAATAAGAGATCTTAGAGATCTAGCTTCTTTATAAAATAGTATATAATTATTAAAGAGCTTTATTAGCTTAAGTCTATAAAAGCTCTAAATAATTTACTAGATATAAAAGATTAAGAGAAAGCTATATATCTAGCTATTCTTTTAGTTAGAAAGAGAATAATAAATTCTAAAGATATTATAAGATTAACTCTAATTTATAAGAAATATATAAAATATAATTATAAAGATAATAAAATAGTTTTATTTTCTATAAGTAAGAGTATTATAATAATAGATAATTAATATTTATCTATTTAGAATAAATACTATCTAGTATATTTTTCCTT